TCTGGGGCTGCACACCCATCTCGCTTAAGAGGCCGGGGGCCAGCACTGTCCGAGGACACTTCCGGGTCACGTGGCCAGCGTGACAAAGCTGCTCTGGCGAGCCAGCACCAGCGCAGCACACGGAAACACCGTTTACCTTCCCGCTATAAAGCTGTACCTATTTATCTTCTTGCACTTGAGAGTGCTTTCGAACTGCTAGGTGGGCAGGAGCTGGGACCGAATGACGGGAGCTCACCCCGCCGCGGGGATTCGAACCGCCGACCATACGATCGGCAAGTCCTAGGCGCTGAGGTTTTACCCACAGCGCCACCCGTGTCCCAATAATCAACACATAAACAAGTTTTAAAAATCCTTGGTTGCTGACTTCTGCATGTTTTGTTTTTTTTGCATTTAAGTGGTTTTTAAAGCTGCAGGCCTGCCAGCCACTTTGGCTATATAAATATACTGAAAAACCCAGTCATATTTAGGGCTTTAGTAACTGCCATGTAGGGACTTGTCATAATATCTAAAATCATGTTGCTGTCCATATGTTCCCTGGTTATCGTCTAAAATTAACAACCCTCCAGCTATCTGCAGTAGCTGGCAATGGCAGGAAGGCAGATCTATGTCTCTCTTGACAGTAGTCCTTAAAATGCTGTAGCAAGGGACTCTGGGTAGTCCTGGCTCATCAGCTGTCTGTCTGGAAAAGCCCCCTGTGTGGCTATGCTGTTTCCAATCCCTGCACCCACATCTTAACAGTACCCATGCTTTTAGCTTCCTCAGTGAATGTGATGGGTCTGGTTCCCACCTCTGGTGCAAAGCGAAGGAAGCACTCAAACTACATGTAGCCAAGTTTCACTATGTGCATAGCTGTCGAGCGTCCCTTATTTGGTGGGACAGTCCCTTATCCTAGTTCCGTGTCCCGCTGCTGTCCCTTATTGATGATGTCCCTTAAATAAGCTACTGAAGATAATGGGGCCCTTTCTATGTCCAGCTGTGCTTTGTCAACAACAAATTGTTGCTTTTTTTTGTATTGAATATATGCTATATGGTAATTTATGGACCTAATAGGTATCTAAAGCCATTTGCACGCAACAAAATATGTATTTTATCAAAGCAATTGTTGATCCCTTATTTTGGCTGCTGATCCCTTATTTTCAAATCTGTAAGTTGACAGTTATGTACGTGACCAAGCAGTAAGTGCAATGTATCTACCATAAATGGCTTGGCATTTGCAATATTCATTAAACTGGTGTTTCAAAATTAAGCTAACACTGGGGCGTCCATATCCGAGGCACTTTTGGCATAGCCCCTGGTGCTTCAGAAATGTTTTGTGAGGAAGATCAGAAAGTTGGTGTCTAAATCAGCCCAACTATGGTTAAGAAATCAAGAGGCGGCCATGGGCTTGCACACTGCCTCTTCCTCTATGCGTAAGTTCCCCACTTCTCCCCTTTAAGGAGGTGTAATCAGAATATGTAAACCAACTTTTATAACTTTGGTTGCAAACTTTGCTTCAAAGCTAACCATGGTTAGCTCCAGTGGAGGGAGAGAGGAATGTGTGTTGTATTCAGTCTCCAAACCACAATTTTAGGAGATGGAGAACCTTATGTGTGGATGAGGCCTTCATCAGAAGTTTACCAAAACACTGAAATCCCTGGGAAGGAGGGAAACTTAGTGGTAGATCATCTGCTGTGCAAGCAGAAGCTCTCATGTTCAACCCCATCACCATCAGATAGGACTAGGAGAAAGCCCAGCTTTGTGGGGATAGATAAAAATGACAAAACCACATTTGTGGATGCATCTAAAAAGGCTATATTCTAGCAATCTAGGTTTGCAAGAGAAATAGTGTGGAAAGATTTAGAACAATGAAGAACATTACTGGTAGCCTTTTATGAGAAACAGCATAACCAGGCAAGTCCTTGCTGAAACTTTTCCAAGCAAACTCCAAAGTAACAGAAGCAGAAAGAATTATAGCCTATCTCCAAATGTCTCTGAAACTGTGACAATCGCTCAGAGAAACTTGTTAACCCCTGCATAAGGCTGGTCAGTCTAATTTTTTTTAAAAAAATTAATAGCTGTGTATAAGTTGCATCTCATACAATTTTTCTCTTTCTTCTGAAGTACTGTATGAAAGATGACTCACTTTGTTTGCAAATATTTTGCAATTTTGGAAACATGGAAAACGGGAAAGAAGCAACTGTTCACGTTCAGCTGGAAGCAACTCCTTCAGTGTTGAATATGGTAAATATTTTCATCTTTGAATAATCGTAATTAAATGCATGTAACCAAGGTTCAGAAGCCTCACAAAGAGCAAAATCCATTAATGGTTTTGTGCTTATAAGACTCACTAATTTCAGTGGCAGGGACTAAAGCATGTGCTTAATTTCTTCCTCCCTCCATCTCAAATCCATGGGACTTGAAAGGGGCTTAACATTGCCTGCATGGCCTAAGTGGATTCCTGAGCCTATATTTATAAATTCAATTTAACATTTCATAGTGTCTTTCGCGTGTTCCCTCCAAGTGGTATAAACCTATCTTTTAAAAAACAGGATGCAGCTTCTGCACTTACATTTGAAGTAAAAGCAAGTGTTTCAGCAGATCAGAATCCTAAAGTCATTGAACTGCACAAGGACAAGCAAACTACATATGTAAGTATTTTTAAACACAGCATTTGATTGGGGAAGCAGTATTTAGGCCAGTCGCATATGTGCTTCATTCAGGTGGTCCATGATGTGTCTGTAAAAATACAATCAAAAACCACACAGCCGTTGCTACAACAGGGACAAAAATGGTTAAGCGACCCGCCAAACCCTTAGCTGTTTTCAGCTGGAAAAAAGTTCATCTGCTTGTGCTGATGGAAGTGCACCATGGTGTTTCTTCGTTCTGTGCTCCTCCTAGCTGCCGTTCCTCCTCTGGTCACTGCTGTGGATACACAACCTGACTGTCTAATTTATATACCCTGAAGGATACAAGCCATTTAAGTTCGTGTGTATGAGAAACCTGGTACAGTCTCTATAGAATCCTTGATGGTTAACTTCTGGATGTTCTTTATTTGTGCAGGTCATTCTGGAGGGACTTCATAACCAAATACCAAAACCTAGTGTAACAATGTTGCTCATTGGAATGGGTTCACTAGTTGGAATTGCTTTGCTTTTGATTTTTGCATGTATTTTATGGAAGGTAAGTACTGCAGATTTAATTCATACATCTATTTGCTTTTAGGACTGTCCCCCCCCCCCCCAAGATCTCATCACAATGGAAGAGTCACCCTTGCTTCCCTACTGCCCACAAATTTATTCTAAAGTGCAGCTTTTATACTCATTTTTCAAAGTTCTTTTTTTCATCAGAGGGAGGCTTTGGTCATTACATGGGTTGAGGAATGAGAAGTTTTTCTTCTCTGGAAAAGCTCCCACTTTTATTTCTAAAACAGTCATTGATAAGTTATCACATTTTCAGAGCCAGACTTTTGGAGTAAAGTTAGGCAACAAAGCCTTTAACTCATTTCTATCTTACCAAATAATGGCCTTTGATGCATGATAGACATTCTGCAGTTTACAGTGCCATTTGTCTTGGCACTGTTGTGATTATTTATTGGCAACTGCTGAAGAGAATGCTTTCTGGAAACTGATAGTTTCCTGAACAGCCACCCCAAAATTTTCCTTTTTGTTTAAATCATGTGGCCCCTCCAGCTGCTGTTGGACTCTATATCCCATTAGCCACAGTCAGTGGGAGTTGCAGTCCAGGAACATCTGGGTAGGGCATGCATTAGTTACAGTGTTAGAAACTGAGATATGAAAGCTAGGAGCTTAAAGGCATCTTAAACCTAGGTTATGGGCGCAACAACGAAATGTCTAGGCACACTTTTTTATAAGAATACAAAGCTGAAAATGAATGAACTGCAGCTAAAATATGTTCATTTTTCACATGGTCTGCTCTAGTCCTTCCCCTGCCCACCCCCCTAATATTCTTAAGAGGGTCTCTTCTCCAGTCTTCACAGAGTAGCTGGAAGTGGAGAGGCAGAAAAAGGTCCTCCTTTCCTTTCACTCTGCAGTTTTAATCTGAAATCTTAGGTGTGGTACTGCACCCAGAGCTCAGAAACTGCTTGCATTAATGAAATTCCGTTGCAAAATGCACCTAGAGCAATGGGAGTTTTGAACACTGATTAGTTAGCTCAGATTTGGAAGAGGACTCTGCTTACACAGACAATTGCAGTGGAAGAGGGCTCTGTCCGCACAGATAAGCAGAGATACTACTGTGTAGTAGAATTGTAAATTTTATTTTTTAGTTGCCAACATCTTCTTCATAGATTCTGAAATTGTGTCTTCTAGGTTGGTTTCTTTACAAGAAAATATAAACTTCTTCCTCAAGAACAGAATGGAAGGGAAAGCTGGAGCTTTATAAACAGCAAACAAGAGGACACCAGTGACAATGATTAAAAGTTTTTCTACATAGTACATGGATATATATTTTTTAATCGAAGGCACCGTTTGCAAGAATTGACATGTCATAAATCCTTGCCATAGATATATCCAAGTGAAAAGAAAGATTTCACCTTTCTCAGCTTCCTACAATACAAATCGTAGGATGTCTGAAGAAAAATGGCAAATATAAGCGAGACCACCAAAGATGAAGAAAAACCAGCGAAAACACTATGAAAGAGCTACTACTTGCTAAAACGAATTTTGGCCAGATGAATCATACTTGAATTAAGAGTGCATAGCTCCACTGCCCAGGGATTCAGCTGAATATATAAAAGGAACAACATTATGAACAGGCTTGGGATGCAGCAACCAACAGTACCTTTTTATATGATTAAAAACGCAAACCCTTTCCCCCCCATCTACATCAGAGCTTACGTTATCTAATGTACATCTGCATGAAAGGTGACCCTACTAAATTAGATGAATTTGGTCATCTGTACAATCAGTGTATGGCCTTTGTCTTTGCCGTATTATCATGGACTTTTAGGGCTACAAACAAATAGGGCATTTTTCCAGGGCAGACCAAGACGCAACATGAGCATAGCTGTTTCACCCTCCTCTATACCCTAACACATGCATGTGAAATTGATATTTGTGCCACAACAAAGCATCTACTTTCTGAAGGAGACAGTGGTTCAGGAGTAAATCCAAGCCCCTGGGCCCTTTCCCTAGTGATGGTGGATGAGATTCAGCAGAGGATTTTGAAATGGCCCCGTCCCCAAACTCCCTCGTTTCTGCTGGCTGCCCCTGACAGGAGAGGTTTCCATCTCTCCAGCATTTCAGAAGCTTGGATAGGTCTGCCCCTTATGAAACTCAAGACTGCAGGATCCTTAGCGAATAGGAATTTCCATTCACAAGATAGCTGCCCCAACACCTATGCGGAGCTCACCTTCTTTGAACTGAAGCTGCGTGTGTTCATGGAACAAAACCATCAGAACCAGCAATCTATGATATATATATATTTAATGTCAGTCTTTAGATTCCAGTTTGCCAGATTTTTTTTTTTTTGTAGATATATCCAATCAGAGCATCCAAATTAAAATTATATTGAAGTAATTCTTCTCCCACTGACTTCTTTGATCAGGGAAATGTAGCAGTCATATTCCTTCCATTCTATTTATTTTGTTTAAGAGCAGGTTTATATAAGGAAGTCTGAAATTATATTTAGAGCAGATTTTGTTGTTCAATATATTTTAATTATCATCTTTTAAAATAGGGTTCAAGACAGAAGTGAAACACTGCACTTTAACCCCCAAATCATTGTGCTGTCACAAAGTATACCTCAAAGTTTAAAACAGCATTAAACACTCTGAAACATAGCACAAAAGTGACCTGGATCTACATTTTTTACCAATTCAATGACACACAAATATTTAGAAAGTTGTCATAATTTAACTTACAAACAAGGATAAAAGTGTCGTTATGAAAATAACAATAAAAGTTTGCATACAAATAAGATGTGATAGCATGTCAGTTCAAAATGCTCTGCCAGTTAAAAATAAATAAATCCACATATCAATTGTAACTGCTCAGAGTCCAACTTCAATAAATTCACTTTTTTGTATTTGAAGTATTTGTCAAATTATTCCAGAAAACTTGGCAAAATTAGTTTTGTTGTTTCACCCCCACCTTGAAGATTACTGGTGCAATCATATTCAATAAGAGGAAAATCCTACTGTATTCAAGTGGACTTACTCTCAGGTAAGCATGCACAGGAATGCAGCCAAAAGGTGCAAGTACAGTTATGCTATAACATGTTTACTCAACTGTAATTGGTTCTCACAGGGCCACAATCCAAAATTAAGCATTTTTCTTAATTATTTGCATTAGGGAGGGACCGAATATGGCATAAAGTTTAAGGGTCTTCTTAAATGTTTAACGGAACACACTTTTTTCAGCAGTACTGAAATGTGCAGAATGGTTTGCAGAACTGAAACAGTGGAAGTCATAAAAAGTAATGGGAAAAGCTAGACTCACTGAGCAATGCATGGGAGCTTGGGTGAAGAATGCTACCCTGCCTAAACTGTGGAGAGGCTTAAATGTTCTGCCTACTGCCACTTTGAAAGAAGCAGGAAAACAGCCACAGAACCCAATTTCCAGGGCCTCTCTCTTCTGGTGAAGGGCACACACAAACCCACATCCTCCCACACCTTCCTTACCTGTGTAGCATATCCCTGCAGCCCCTCTCCTCAGTCTTTGAAAAATGTCAATCAAGTATATAAAAATCATTCAGTTTTCCTGCAGAAATAAGTATGCGTTGGGGATTTGCCTCATCCAAAGCTTGGGTTTCAATCTGCATCAGTCATATTGTATACCACTGAGTTGTTCGATTTAGCAGCAAAATCCATAATTTCTCTTCCTAGATTGTTTCTATAGACAGCTGCATGATCCTTTTGGATTATCCACTGCACCAACACTCTTGCCATATAGATTAATTAATCGGGGATGTACCCTGGTAATAGGAAGAAAACAGGAAATCCATTACTTCTCTGCAGTATTGCTGTGGCATTTTATCTGAGCACACAGGATAAACTACAGAAAATTTAAAAATCCTCTTCCTATTACAATCTAAACATTTCTCATAAAGTTACTTTCCTAGATTATATGGGTCCGCCTTAGTGCCTGGGATATTTGTGTATGGAATTAATATGAATGGGTCATTCATGCAGCAAGCAAGCTCGGTAAAACTGAATTGACTCTGAACTATGTAGCATCACTACTAAAAACAGCACAAGTGAAATTTCAAGGACAGAGATTTTGAAGTCTGTCCTTCATGAGAAATAAACCAAAGTTATCAGCTAGAACTGGACTACAGCATGAATCTCATACTGGTTTCAGTGGCCTGCTGAATGTTTTGCTATACAATCACAACAGGCACAAGAACAGAATGCAGCAAGGAAGTAAAATCCATCTGCAATTTTGTGACATTTTCTGGTCTACAGGGCTATGCGATTTGCTTAGATATGGCCTAAAGCATTTGTTAAAGAGAACAATGTATCATAAAATGATGTTGAAATGTGTCACTCAGCACTAAACTCTAGGCACACATTTCCAATGTGCATAATAAGGGATTGGTATAATGTTAAGTCTGCACTGCCCAATTTTGGCGCACTGGATACAGGCCTAACATCCACAGAACGCAGTCTGTACCCTACAAAAATTCACATGTGGTCAACAATGGCAACATACAGGTGCGAGCTGGTGTGATTCGACTTCTATTTATTGTGCAAGCTCCCCCCCCATCCCATGTACAGTTCTAGATAAAGAAGGCAGAGGAAAGGGCACTGAGCAGGGCTCAGCCAGCAGCAGCAGGCTGGAGTCAGAAGCAAAGACCCCAGCCAAGGATCCCAATATTACCAATGTCCCAGGAAGAAGGCAAAAGTACTTTGCTTAATGGAATACAGTGGTACCTAGGTTTAAGAGCAGTCCTGTTTACGAATGATTCGGTTTAAGAACTCCCCAAAACCGGAAGTAGTGTCCCGGTTTGTGAACTTTACCTCAGTCTAAGAATGGAATCTGAATGGTGGAAGGGCACCAGCAGCGGGAGGCCTCATTAGGGAAAGCATGCCTTGGTTTAAGAACGGTTTTGGTTTAAGAACGGACTTCCGGAATGGATTAAGTTCGTAAACTGAGGTACCACTGTAGTGGCTAAAGAAAGACTCATGCAGAAGCACAGTGTGGAATTCCAGTATTGCATTCTGTGTGTGCACCTGCAGAGCTACAATAGCATCAGGACTGTACAGAAAATGAGCAAAAACGCAGGGATTAAGCAAAAAAATCAACATGGTTTTTGATGAACTTGCCAATTCTCTAGTTCAGAGTCTTGAACTATGGCATACTCAACTTTAAAAAGCAGAGGAACAGCAGGCATTGATTAATGGACCACTTAGGGCTTACAACGATCAATCATAATCAATCAATCAATCAATCAATCAATCGCATATCACTACACTTCACCCTACCGGACACAAACTTCCGATGGCCATTCCATTAACTCTCCATCTATATTCCATGGGTAGTTCGTTTCTTCAGGATCTATGGAATTCAAGTTGTCTCTAGTGATGCGTTCCTTTCTAGTTCTTGATTGGACTTTTACCTCTTCAACAATGAAAGCTTCAACAAATGGAAAATTGAACTAACACACAAAAACAGAAGATACAATTTTGTAAATAAAACAGGAGATTCCCCCTCCCCTTATAGGATGGGTGTTACCTTATGCTTTCATTTCATTAAAGAAAAAAGATGGAGTAATAATCTCAAATGACTCCATAGTGTTTAGCTGCATCTCCTTAAACATGTAGTTTTAAAAGCAAAAGAACCAAGAAAGCCTGCGTTCCCCCTGCTCTCATGTTTCCTGCCACCGATAACTCCTAAAGAGGACTTATCTTATCCACTTCAATAAGATGAAGGAAAGCTCATTCTTTTCCTTTGGATTTATGGCAGCAATGCATTGCACCAAGCCCTGCATTGCAGTTCACTTTATCAGCCAGAATTTGTGCCCAAAGACAATGAGCCTTAGCCTGGAGACTCAACACACTGGTCATTAATTTAGAATAGTACTTCATCCCCTGTAACTTTTGAATCCCCTGTTTTCCAAATCTTGGGGTTGGGCAGGGAGAAACCAGTGGTCTTCCGGACGGCGTTGTGCTACAACTCTCATTATCCCAAACCATTGGCCATGCTGGCTGAGGCTGCTGAGAGCCCCCCAAAAAATATGGATTCCCAACCCAATTTAATGTGATGTTCTTCATTGCTGAGCACTACAGAATGAATCTCGATAAGCACCTTCGCCAAGACTCCAGATCTACTGAACTGGATGAGTGCTGTGTGTGTGTGTGTGTGTATAGATATGCACACATGTATGCACTCTCAAACATGTACATTGAAGCTTTGTGGATAAATTGTGGTGTTTGATACTGGGTTGCCTGCTGTTTGTGTATGTTGTCCACCTGTGCTCTGCATATAGGTGAAACTAAAATAAATAAATCCCACCCACAAAACGTAGGGTCTCCACTTGCCCTTAATCTCAGTGAAGTCTCTGTTTAAATACAATAGTGTTTCTGGTTTACCACCCCCACCCCCCTTTTAAAATCAGTTTAGCAGCTTTACACTCTAGTAACTCCTGTATATAAGAACCATATATAACTAAACCACAACAGATGGGTGGAAATAGGCTAATCGGTATTAGTCTGATTGGTGATTTTCAAAAATCAGATAAAAGTGGGCTAATCTACTCTGACAGGAGGTTAAGTCTCCTTACCAAGGCACTACTATCTCCTGGAGCATTTACTTCCCATCTTAAAGTTTTGTCTGCTTCATCATGTTATGTTTTAGATACTCTTTCGGGAGGGAGGGGTGATGTGTTGTGCACATTTCCATCTTCTGTGCCCTCTGTTGGGCACAGCGATTAAAGAAATCTAATCTAAACAAGTTTGGGTTGCAGAAGTAAACCTTTACCTGGTTTTTCACACTAGCATATCTTTTCAGGTGCTTAACAAACTCCGGACGAGAAGTGTTCCGCACAACAATAAGCGCCATGCTTCCATCATTCAATCTAAAAATGGCATAGTTCAGTAAAGTATGGAATTAACACAATTATCTTTGATCTCATTGTTGACTTATTCAGAATCATCTATTTTTATTATCAGCGAGGTTACGGGTTATACTTATTTTCAGAATTAAATAATAACACAATTTTTTAAATAATGGAACTACTTCATTGGCTCCATTACTTCTACCATGCCAATATTTTAAAATTAAAATGCTCAGTCCAAACACCTCTACAGTGCTGAATGTCTTTCCTTCTCTCTCATTTGGGGCAGCCTTTAGTAATTGACCTGTTGTGATTCGCTTTGATAACAAAACACCCTACTGGTAAAATCAGAGGTGGGAACAGGAAAACGCTGGCACGCTCCTCGGTTCTGTAAATGTTAACCAATAGTTTCTGTTCTAAACTTGGGAGTCTCCTGTATCCGTACAATTTTGTATGTTAAAATACCATTCTAACTATATTTCTACATGACCCTTTTTATTTGTTCCTAAATCCAATGCCTGCCACAAATTCAGCCTAGGCAAAACAGACACTCTACCCAAAATGAAAGGTAGGAGGCACTACAAGAAAGGAAAAGGAAACACATGCTGGATCAATTCCTCAACTGTATGTACAGTGGGAGTGCAATCATATGCAAGTCAGTCCCACTGATGGCATAAAATGCTGATGTTGTAACATGTAGTGGCAGCTACTAGCAAGTCAAACCCTTAAGGGCTTCAACTTACTTGACCTGAAGGAAATGCAGTAATTTTGTGGATTGTGGCAAGGATCCTATACTGGCCACATTGGGGAACACTAAAGAGACTGATGAGGACCCAAAGAGTTATTTCTCACAACCACGGTTTGATATCTACCCTGAGATTGTGAGCTCCGGTAGAAAATCTTAAGATTTCTATGGTGAAGAAGACAAACAATTTTAAGAGTTTTGCAAATACTGCAGTCAAACTATGTCAAAGCATCTCTGATAATAAGATCTGACTGATTTACTGTCAAGATGACGTTATTGTAGTAACAAATACTGAAAACTGCAAAGAAAGAAAAGTATTGAAACAATCAATCAGTCAGATCTAAAGAACTAGATTTCCTATCAACAAGCCCCAGGGAGATTATTACTTGATGACTACCACTTAAGTCAGACTTGTAAACTAATTTAATCACTGTAATTATCCAATGATTATTTCTAGGTGGGTGACCTCAGCTGCCTGCTCCAAAAACTGATTACAATTCCTGAGATCAGGGAGTCAATGGTAGTCCAACTCAACTATCTTCACCCCCCCCCATGAACCTCAGAGGGTCTAGACTGTTCGTGACACAAGCATGCATTCTTGGGAAAGCCAAGGCATTAGAATAAGTTGTCAGAATTTAGAGACATTACTCTAATTCTGTAAATCCTTACTGACCTGGTATTAGGTGCCAAGCCTCTTGGTGCCATTGAGCAGAGGCAAGGGATTGCCATAATGCTCACGTTCAGGAAGTGACCCTGGATTCTGCGCCAGTGATCCCTGCTGTCTAAATATAACACCACACCGTATTACTTCAAGTAAAACCTAATTCTCCTGCTAAGTGATTAAACTTGGAAACTTACCAGATTTAAGTCTCTTTTGCTGCTTTCTAAAAATAAACACATCAGATAAAATAATTAACGGGCACGGAATGACGTGGAACAAAAAATAAAAACAAGCACAACATGTTTGTGATTTAATTGAAGATTGAACACTCAGCTAGGAAATGCAAATTATTGTTTGAAAGAAAAGTGGGATTTCATTTTGATCTTAAGCACATTATTTCTAAAACAACAGGAATTCTGATTAAAGCTTTCGGGGCGGAGTGTGCTGGTGACAGCTCTGAACTACTTATAATAAAATCGGAAACAATAATATCTAAGTGCATGGTTAATCATTTTCTTTAAGAAAACATGATCCGCAATACAATGGTCCCAATCCAACTAATGCTTGTCACATTTAAATTGCATTGAAATCAAACAGTGCTTACATTCATTACAATTTAGCTGAAGTTGGGTTGCAACTGTTATAGGATAAAGTTTGGAATATACAGACTTGTGGTTGTTTGTCTGAGTCTTACTTACGTATCCTCCCCCTGAGCATCTTGCTCCAAAGGTAGAAATGATAATTCACAATATTCTGGTCTAAGGACAGAACAAGATTAGTTATTATATCTTATCTTATGTTTATTAGGTGTGCACACAACAAGGTTTAAACAATTACAATTTTTTCTTCACGTTACTATTCTGTAAGGTTTACAATGCAGTCCTATACATATCTATGTCACAGTAAATCCCACTGGTTTTGGAGAACTGAATTTGGAGAAGTTTACTGACACGGAGCTGGGTATGATTGCAACCCAACAGTAGTTATTAGTCTAGATCAGGAGTACCTAATTTGTGTCCCTCCAGATATTGTGGGATGACAATTTCAGCCATCCCTGACCATCAGCCATGCTGGCTGGGGCTGATGGAAAATGACCCAACCACAGCTGGAAGGCCACTGGTCAGCTACCACTGGTCATTATTATCTGTATAATATCTACTAATACTACCCAACTACAATCATTAAACTTTTGCAAACTGGTAATAATATGAAATCATGTGTTTTGGTCCAAATGGTACAAATCTTTTTTGAAAAAAACTAAACTAAAAACTAACACAAACATAATTTTAAAAAACCAAATTCATCGTACTTCAGACTTGCCAGTGTCTTGAGCACAGCAAAATCTTTTCGCTGACTTGATGGCATCCAACGATGCTTTTCAGCCAAAGCCAGAGCCCTTGATCCAAACCCAAACATTGATGAAAACCCAAAGCGAAGAAGCTTGGTTGGACTACTGAAAGTGCACACGTCCACTGACTGTACATGCCCTGAAATGGTACCATACACATATTATTTCATTTTTCCTCAACTTTCATCACAGGGCTTAAGGTGGCCCACAACCAAATGAGAGTCCTCAGTATTTATCAATTTTAAAAGGCAATTAAAATATCTGCAAAGTCAGGACCCCTATATACTTTTCTGTCAATATTAAATTCCTAGATGAATGAAAATGTTCTGTTTTCTAACTCCAGAAAGTCACTCCAATTAATCCAATAAAGGTGGAAAATCTGTAACCTTCAGCTATGAAGTAGACAGATTACTTGGCATTCAGGTAAAATAGCACAAACACAAAGCAAACATGTGAACATAACATAATAAACAAAGAGCACATTGATTTAAATGTGCCTTTATTACACTGAGTTGTCTTTCCCCTTGCAAATAAACATAGCTTATTTTGAACAAAACCTGTACTGATTGCAGGCATTTCTACCCTATCTTTCAAACATATTTCTAGGGCAGATCTTAGTAATACTAATTACTCCCATACCCACTGTTTCCCAATAAAGTGACAGTCTTATGTATAAGCCAGTAAGAAATTTCTTTTCCTAGTTAAATGTTTACCCACCAATTATTCCTGGAACAGACTTTGGCACAAGGCATACAGAACGTGAGCATGAATCTGGAATACTCTGTGATTTCAGACTCAAAATTCAGAGAGGGAGAATCATAGAATTGTAGAGTTGGAAGGGACCATGCAAGTCATCTAGTCCAAACCCTACAATGCAGGATTTTTTAGCCCAAAGTGGGGCTCAAACCCAAGACCCTGAGACTAAGAGTGAGACTGCCTCCAATGCCCTCCTAGCAAGATTGGCAACTGCTACACCCTTTCACAAGAGGATGTGAAACAATAGAACAGTAGTAAGAAATGGGGGCAGGAAGAACACACAAAATAAGAGCATTCCTTAGAGTCCTTTGAGCCATTGTCGCAGTGGGACAATGAGTCAGTGTCACTTAAGTGGGAGACCAAGCTGTGAAAGAAATAGTATGCAGTTCTCAATAGGCCAAAGGAAGAATGCGAGTGCAAAGTGGACCATTTGTCACAAACCCTCCTTTCAAACAATGGCAAGAAATGTTCAAAGTAATCCTCTCTTCGAAAGGCAGGTGCCGTGCTTAGCAGTAATTATAATGCCTAGAAGTGGTCCTCTCTTTAACTGTAATGCATACTGAAAACAAAGCTATTGTTCGATTTTATTCCAGAAATTAACAAGTAATGGCATTGTGCATTCATGTTGAGAAAACAATGCCAAGCAACTTACTAGGAAGTGCCACATCGTTATTTGAAACTAATATTACTAAATGCAAAAAGGTTCTGAAGTAACCTGAATGCAAATGTTCCTCTTCCTCAACCCACATTCACAAATACAAGAGGACGAAAGAGGTAGAGCTAGTCACATGCTACCAGAGGATATTGTAAACTGCCCTGTGATCTTTGGATAAAGGGTGGTATAGAAATTTAATAAAATAAAAATAAAATCATCCTGCCCAGCAGATTTGAAATTAATTCCTTCCACCCTCCTCATGCAAATGCGGTCTTTTCACCTTTGTATATTAGAAGAGTGAGTGCTCCTCCTAATGGAAATTAGCATTGTTTTTTTAAATAAATTCTTTTCCTAAAGTGTTTCAGATATAGGATACTTACCCATTATTATGTGCAGTGTTGCAGTTACTGTGTGTTGTATGCCATTCACAGTATATGCCAAAATATTTGTGGAACCTGTAAATATTCAACAATGTGTCCAAGAATGAAGGCAAAGTGAATAAGATCATTCTAACAAAAGAGAATATTTCAAAATGAATCCTCTAAGCCAGTGGGGAGCTGAATTCCTTTAGTAAAAGCATTTGCCCAAGTTGATTGATTTCTATAATGTAGAGTTATGGCAGTGTCTCACAACCAGATGTTAAAAAAGCATACAATTTGAAGCATACAGTGCTACCTCCGGTTACGAACTTAATTCGTTCCGGATGTCCGTTCTTAAGCTGAAACCGTTCTTAACATGAGGCACGCTTTCACTGATGAGGCCTCCTGCTGCTGCCGCACTGCTGGCGCACGACGTCCGCTCAGATCCTGGGGCAAAGTTCGCAACTAGGAGCATCTACTTCCAGGTTAGCAGAGCTCCTTACCCGAAGCATTCATAAGGAGGACGGTACGTATCTCAAGGTTCCACTGTGCCTCCTTATGGAAGACAATTCTTGCCCATTTATCTTTCCCCTTGCACCCCAGCACTACCTCTGATGCTGTTCCAGAGGATCCCCCAACTCTCCAGAGGAGCTTTCCAGGGGGCACAGGAGACTACAGGGCAAAGGAGGAAACAGCAAAAAATTGCCTCTTCCTGCCATTCCTTCAGATGTGACCTACGAACAGAACTTCATTCACAAGAAGTCTGGCTCCAGCCCATGTTGCCTCAGCGGCCAATGTTCAGTTCAACATTTCCTTTCTGGGGTTCTTGCCTTGGAATTTTGAAAGCCAGCCATGATCTGACCTGTTTCCATTTACTACTCTGGCTTTAATCTAGGACAAGAGTGAGTTCCAACAGCTAACCTGTCTGTTACACAGATCCTAAACATGCACCTGGAAGAGCTCCAGTTGTGTTTTTTTGACATAAGAAGTTATGCTATGTCAAGGTCAAAGTACATAAAACCTTTGGATCTCAGCCATCCTTGTGTGAAAGATTCAAAGTCTAATTAAATATTTTGCACTATGCAGCCTCCCTCCACGAAACAAAGGCTCCAGGTAATGTATTCTTTTGATTATTTCTACAGTCCCATGATATTATTATTGCACTGGTGCTCAACATGTATTTGGTCCTAGCAATAATACTAGCATACAAACAAATAACAGTAACTAAAAGCTACTTATTCCATGGAAATAAAGGATTGGATCTAGGCTAAATTATAATACAATCCTAACATACATGTATACTCATAAGTCACAGTGACCTCAGCAGGACTTACTCCCAAGGTGACTATGTATAGGGCTGCAGTCCTAGTTGCACTAAGGTCCATTAAAATCAATCTAAAAATTTAATCACAGCTATGTTAAGTTCCACAGATTTCAATGGGAACTAAGCACAACTAACGTATCCTGGATCCAAGCCAATGGATTTCTCATTTCCCAAGTGACAGCACTGTGCAGAGGTAATTAAAAGACTGCTTATTAATGGCAATGTTGCGACTTCTTAAGTTGTGGTGTTTCCCAACATATTACAAAAGACACATTTTTTAAATGGACAGCACTACCAATAAAATGAAACTTCTATTCCAATGCTTCTGTTCCTGCTAACCAAACCTTCTCCTAAAGGGTGCTAAAGTGTGGGAGAAAGGGAAAAAGTACCAGTTCACGTAAAGCCTGACTGATGAAGGTACCAGACAGAAATTGTGGGGGGAAATGTCTTTGGAAGTGCAAGCACTCCTGCAGAACAATTAACTTAATTAACCAGACAACATGAATATTCATAAGTCTGTTAATGTCTCCACCACATCCAAACAGATAAATGTGATGTAATGACTTCCTAGTCAAGCATATCTAAGAATCTCATGAAAGCTGCACCAACGCCGTGGTTCTTTGCCCAAAGTATCATGGAAATTGAAAATCTCGTTAACAATATATTATTCTCCACAAATTAATTGCAAGCAGGAAATAACGGAAATCTCAGGGCTATGAGATTTACAGTCAATATATATAAAATTCCTCTGTTTCATAACAATTTCATAACAATTAATCTGCTTTCCCCCAGTCCTTCCAGTTTTCTCCAAATCCCTCTGTACAGTTCCTGAGCTGTAGTTCCCATAGCAACAAACACTATTCCTAAATAGCCAGCAGTACCACCACAGGCTTCTTCCATCCGACTGGTTTTATTTTGACCACAGTATAGTAGCTTGTTATGTTGGTCTAACGAAACCTTTCTTCCGTTTTTTTCTCAAGGAAAACTACAATTTAGCACAATGCTGAATGACTGTTAACATTCTAGAACTGGGTGTTAGTTTTCTACTCAGAACTGATTTTAATAACCAGCTAAGTTAAAACTCGGGTTTTGTAATTCTGCACAAAACTAACATTCTTATAGCATGAAGCATGTCACTCAAGACTGACTGTAGCATATCCATGATAAAATAATTAACACTTGAGTTGGATACCAATTTAAATTAGTCACATCAGCTTGCAGTATCTCTCTCACTTGTAATACCCAAGTTATATTTAATATAGAGAATAGGGCCAGGCAATATATCAATATATCATCCAAAACAGGTTTGAAATCCATGTTGCAATATTGGTTTCATAATTTTTGGTTTGTGTGTGTTTGTGTGATGCAAAAATCACAGTGTGGGAAAAACGGTGAAGCCAGCCATTGCCTCTACATTAGGCATCCCCAAACTCGGCCCTCCAGATGTTTTGGGACTACAACTCCCATAATCCCTAGCTAACAGGACCAGAGGTCAGGGATGATGGGAATTTTAGTCCCAAAACATCTGGAGGGCTGAGTTAGGGGGTGCCTGCTCTACATTGTTCCATCCTTATTTCAGACATGGTGATATATCAGTATATCACAATGTTTAGCTAGTGATATATCACAATGTTGAAAAACAGGTATTGCCCAGGTGATATCTCTCACTGATTTCCCCTGGGAATCTCTTGTGCTTCCTGAAAGTCTGCTCTGGAATGACATGGCATGAAACATCTTGTACCTACTGGTAGACCAGAGAGGACTTTTCCACTCAGGGCTTCCACCCCCTTTACATGCATATTCCTCCATGGTAACCCAGCATGGTACATGAAGTCTGCCATGATCCGACCACTACTCAGAAAGATAAATGGAGATCAGCAACTTGCCCATGCTCCCATAAATGGTTGTCCACTTAAGAATCAAAGTTGGGTTTACATAGGCCATACTTATGTCTGTGAGGAAAAGATGGGCATCTCCAGAGTGCCATATAAAGAATATGGACTGTGCCAGGAGCAAAAATAAATAACTGGGGATTTAGAAATAAATCAAACAATAAGAAGAGAACAATATAACAGAACCCAAGACAGTATAAAATCTGAAAGTGATTCTGTCACAATACCATAAAAACTATGTGTACTATTTTTTGTATTCATTGCTTTATATACTCTCACCTGCTGGTATTATTCCAAGAGGAACTTGTGCTTTAACTGGTGCAATTATGTCATCACCATCCCTCCTGGCATCCATCTGGGCTCTAAGCAGAAGACCATGAGCAACTTCATGGGCAGTCCCATCTCCACCAATGCAAACCACCCTGCAGCAAAACAGTGGCCGGTGTCTCTTCATTACAATTTAGTTCAAAAAACATTTAGTTTCAGGCTAAAGATAGTGCGAGGCATTACATATGATCAAGCTGAAACAGATTATAATCTTTCTAGGACAGCTTATTGAACTAATATGCTCCAGAACAATTTTCTACATAGCTTTGACTTCTTTTGAGCTTTACAAATATGATAAGTGTGCTGTTCTCATTCCCCCCCCCCCCTGTTAATATGTTGTTGGCATCCGTCTGTCTCGGGAGATAATGGAAGAGTGCACCTTTGGGGGTAAAGTCAAACCGTTTGAGAGTTACAGTGCCTGCTGCCAATATGGGAGAGACTTGTTTCGTTGCAGGTGGGGCTGATGAAGGCATCTGAATTTGCTGCTACAGGTGCACCATGGCATTTCTGCTCTCTGCACTTCTCCCAGCTGCCATGCAGTCAACGGGCAATATCTCACATTAATCAAATTACACAATGCTATTTATGCAAATGAAGTCCATTGATTTCAATAGGTCTATGTGTGACTAAATTGGATATCACCCAATTTGTACTAGTGTGTGTTTGTAGCATTTATTTAACCATTAAAATGACTTTCATTACATTCCCTTAAACTATTTATTTAACTAGTTTCTTCTATGGCAGTGTTCAAAATATAGCAACTTCCCCACTGGAGCTTACAGCATAGGAAAAACCATACAAAATAGGAAACACTAATATACCAATAACAGCAGCAGTAAAAATGTCTCTGCTGATCTAGTTGCATCATCCAACCTTCCCAATAAAAATAAGAGCCCCTACCTCTTACACATGCAAACAAAATGCAACACAAAGCAAGAGTTATTAATGAAGACACTTCACTATCTTACCCAAATTTCTGCCATCTGTATCTACTCAAGGCAATACTTTAGAGATTGTAAGCTCACTAAGGGATGTTATGGGCAGTCTCACAGCCTAGCTTACCTTCACTGTGTTCATGGCAGAAACAATATTCAAACCAGGGACTGCCAGATTAGCAGCTTGGTCTTGAAGCGGCTGTACCACACAAACTGTAAAATCCCATACCTTTTGCTTGTGAATTTTATTCCGCTTCTGCCATTAGCCATACGTGTGTTGCCTTTAACAGCTATGTTAGAGAGTAGCCAGCTTGCTTATAGTGGCTACAGTATGGAACTAAGGCTTCAGAGGCAAGGGCCAAATCCCGACTTACCCATGAAGCTCATTAGGTGCCTCTGAGCAAGTCACTGTCATCTCTTAGCCTAATGTACTTCACAGAGTTGAGGGAATGAAATGGGGAGTGGGAAAGCCATTTACACTGCCCTGAACTCCTAAAAGGAAGGGCAAGATATAGCTAGACAGCTAGAATTAGAACAACTATATGCACAACAACTATATCTTTAATGTTGGCTTGCTGATCCCAAAATTTTGAGCAAGCTTATATGCTCTCTACTCCCAACTCTTTTGCATAGCCTCCAGAGGTATAAAAATTAGTGCAAGCTGGTACAGCCTATCTGTAAAAAGCCTCAAGTAGTAATTTATTGAACACCGCTAACTGTTTCAATTAACTGGCTATTTGAAAGAGAAATTTATTTTGTTGTCTTGTTCAAGTTTGAGGGTTTAAGAACATTTATTAAGATTCTAAATTAATTAAAATATTCTAAGAAATAAATAAGAACAATAATGTGCTTAAACTAATAAAACAAACCATAACTCATAATTGCTTGAATTACATATTATGATACCCTACACCTGTTTCATCTGGGGAAATCTGAAATTAGCCAGCTCAATAGAAAAGCCTGTGGATGCTATCATACAGCGAGCTTCTGTGAATCCAGACTGACTGAATTTGTAGGGAGTCAAATGGTGGCGGGGTAATTCTGGGTGTGCACAGGAATGCCTGCATTGAATAATGGGTTTGTAGCAAAACTCTGAGACATGATGCAAGGGATAGAACCCCAAGATTAAAAATAAGCTATGTGCCTACGCCACTGATTACCCTTTCCTTAAATAAGCAGCATCCTTGCAGTACAAGAAAGAAGTTAAAAGTTTCACTTACCCATGAAATGACGTCAGGTCACATTCCTTAAGTAATTTAAGAGCATGTCCTTCATATTCCGTAACTATGAAATATAATGCATAAACAGACAATTTCAGCAATTCAACTTCTCAGTGTAAATTGACAAAATCTGTCTTGGAAGTCATAATTCACAATTCAGAGAGCTATGCCCAGGAGACCTTTGGGTGTTTTCACTTAGATTAGGAGATCCTTATGCCAACTACTAATATCTCCTTTTGATATCTCCTGGATATCAAAAGCACATTTGCCACTCAGTATGCCAGAAACACAAATATATTCTAGAGCCCCAGTGGGTAGACAGAACTGATCATTTTTTTGTTTCTGGATTGTGATCATGGGCACTATTTATCCCTTATATCTTGAACAAGAAAATGTCAGTTACTTGTTTGCAAATTCGTAAACTAGGATTACGTGGATACTCAGTTATATACAGTACATTATCTGCTCTTTCCATAGCGATACAATGGTTATGTTGCGATTTATAGTTGTAGATGTCTGAAGTGCAAGCGTCTGCAGAAGAATAAACTGGCATCTTCTACTAGATGCAATCATATCACACCACACAGAATTGAATTATCTGAAAACGAAATGGTATTTTCATCAGTAAATGCACATCTCTAACTTGGACAAGCTAACCATGGAAATAACAAAGACCGGAGACCAGTAACGAAAGAATGTAACACAGGAGGGTGGCGGTACAAGTATACACCAGAGTCTGTAGCCTCTGGAGAAAAGACATCTGTCACTCTACATCACTGTCTCTGTTTGTTGATATCCTACGCAGTACAGCAAATCCGGCAAAGAAAGACTAAACTGGCATAATGCAGATGGTATCAAGCATCATAACCACATTTAGCATTTTCTAGGGCATCTTTGCCAGAAGAGACAGCCCAGCTGCATCCGCTCATCAAAGATTTCTGCTGACTGACATGACACCTCCAGATGGATTTTTTGTGTAAGAATGTGCATTATTATATGCAAGATTACATTAATCTTTCATGCTTGTCTGTCTTTGGTGAGAGTACATTCTCACTCTCCAGTGCTTTTAAATATTGTTGCGCTCACTCGGTGGTTATTTAAAAACAACTCATAAACACATCATTATTTGTATTTTGCCTTAGAGTTAGCCTCCTGCCTGCTTCATTAGGATGGGTAGCAAAGTCCTAAAGCAAAAAAAAACAACAATGGTGCAGAACACCATAGCAGTTTCTCACCTGGGGCTGCAAATGGGAATTCCAGCCACAAAACAGCATAACATGTTGTCTCTACATATGCTAAACCCTTGACCTTTAGTCTTAAAAGGTCAAGAGTGCAAAGTGAAGAGCCCAGAAGCAGCTTTGTAGCACTGTCACTAATGTGTAAACAAGTTTCTCACCCCTCAAAGCTGTAGAGATGGGTAGAAATAAGGGCCCCCTGCTTATATATATGCCTGCAAAGCTAGAATCATGCCAGAAGCTACAAAGATTTTTTTACAATCCTTGGGAGGCAAGTTTGAAATGCTCTTATAGCTCTATGCATCCCATCTTTAGTATGACTTAGCAAGGCTCAGGAATCATGTACTCAAAACATGCTTAGGTATACATTTTCCCTGCTTCTTTGACACTCTCACAGGCCAACATGAAGGGCAAATGTGACCCAATAAGCTCGAATGCAGATAGTCAGAAGCCAAGAGGAGAGTGAGAGTGAGATTATGTCTGAATCCAGTTATGCTCTCGCCTTGTTTAGGGGCGATATGTAGGCAGAAGTAAGATATCAGAAGCATTGGCTTTCTTTTTTCTGACTAACTGCAGTTTTTCCATTATGACTGAATCAAAATGGTGGATGGATTTAACTATGGTTTATCCAAACAAGCCAAGCCCATGCACAATTGGACATGCAATAGCTAAAAACTAAGCAAAGCCTGACCCAGTTTAAACATAATGACAAACCACCATTAACTGAAAACAGGGGCAAGTGCTTTGATTTTTCCCTGTGTGCCACACCCAAGGAGGAGAGGAGTGGAGGAAACAAGTTGAGGGCTCTTCTCATTGCATTAAACCATAGTTTAGTCTTTCATTCAATTTTAATTTTTTTGAAAGTTGGTTTGAGTAGCAGCAAGAAAAAGCATCTAATAAATGTAATAATGATGATGATGATGATGCACGGCAAAATTTAGCAGCATTGTGTGTAACAGAAGTATTAATTTTCCTAAAATCATTCTTATTTATTGAACTTATATTCTGCCCTTGCTCCCGAAGGAGCCTGGGACAGCAAACAGATCCACAGTTTTAAAACAAAAATGCCTCAGCAAAATCAAAATAAGCAAATATAGCCAAATGCTTAAATTATGCAGGTTGCAGAATTTAGCTTATAGTATGGAGTTTTCATTTTAACGAAGGACCCTCACAAGCCTTACTTTCATCTTAGATTTGTGAAGAAAGGTTTTGCTCACATAAAGACTGAAGGGGTTTTACCACAAAAAGGATTCTGGCAGTCTACTAATTAAAGTCTTCATGCTCTACTGAAATATATTTCAGCTTTACAGACTATTCCTCTGATTGGCTGAGCAACATAAACTCTATGGAGGATGAATTAATTTAAAGGTAACACACTTATTTTTTTTAATAAAAAAATCAGTAAGCATGTTTTTTCTTGATCCACGGTTCTACATAAATTCCTAGTGCACATTTTTATGATTTTACTATTAAAAATAAAATTTCATATATCCATGTGCAATCTGTGTCAGTTGATACACAGCAGAAGAACTTCTTGGTTTGATAAAATTCTATCTGACAAAACCGAAGTACATGTCATTTGCCAAATTAACCTGTAGGAGGAGTGTTAACCACTAACCATAACAATATGCTATGAATAGACTTTATGATAAGAAAGTTTGGGATTTAAGAATAAAAGGACACAATTCTTCAGCAAGAATAGTGTGAATGCATAAAAACTCTTCCAGATTTCCTCTGCATGTCATTGTCATGGTATATATTTATCTCCAGAGTACATGTTTCGTACACATACACCAGCAAGCAGTTTTTCAGCTTTGAAAGCACTGTTCACCTGTCTGGAAAGGTAGGAGGACTGAGCCAAAAACACTACTGGGCCTGTCAGAACTGAATAATCTATTCAGCATCTAAGCAAGTGGAAGAGCTAGTCCCAGAGATCTCTGGATGGAGCAGTCATGGGGTACCTCTGACCTGTAGGCCTACTTAGGTCCATCAGGTCTCTGAATTTCACCAGCAAGGCAGCTTCAGGCAAACTGCATCCACCTGCCAATTACTTGATATCATAGGTCAACAGCAGCACAGTGCTAAGATGAGAGATAGACCCTCTGCCTGCTCTTAGACTGTAAATGGCAGCCTAGGGATCCTCTCTAAAAGGTAGGTAGAGTGAACTTTCTAGCCATTCCTATCTCAGTGCCGGAGCAGAGAGGAAAGGATATGTTCTGTGTGTGATTGCATGCCTACTAGGAGCCAGCATGATGGGTCAGAGCTGCTTACCTGACCTCCTGGCAGGTAAGTCACTGCTACTTACCAGAAGGGGAAAGGGCAATGCAGTGGTGAGGTTGGCATGGTGCAAACACACCAATGAAGCTGATTCAGTGGTCCTGCAAGTATATTTGCACCATCTTCCTTGCTTCACCTCTCCCAATAAAAGCAGCAGTGGCACACCTTCCAGGTCTGGTGGAATTGCCTCTGCCCCAACACACAGTCTACTATGGTTTGTGCCTGCAAGCCCATCTGAGGTGTGTATGAGTGTGACTGCATATGTTGATTTTTATGAGAGAGGAACAGAAAGAAAGTGCTGTACACCTGATACAAAGGTGCTTGTGACAATGCGTAGGTGGGGAAATATAAGCGTATAATATAATATTTGATACTACATTGGGGGGGCACTCATAATTGGAATGCAACTCTGTATAAGGTTGGACAAGTTCCAATTCCCCACCCAGAATTGAGTAATTGATTAGACTGCTTCCATTCTATCACTGTGCAATCCTATGCATGGCTACCCAGCAGCATGTTTCAATGAGTTCAGTGGGGCTAACTCCCAGTTTGATTGTGTACAGGTTTGTGGTCTTACTCCCTAGAAAGTCTGCCTTTTGCAGGGTTAGTGAATAACATATTGTACTAATTTTTTCATTAATTTCCTATAACTTCAGTAACTAATAAACAGGGTGGAGAAAGGTATTTCAACAAAGCAAGAGCATATGAAAATATTTAACTAAAAGATAAACCAATGACTGCACATCAACACAAAATAATTTTCGCTAACAAGGAATTTATTTCTTTAAAGTCGTGTGTGCTAAGTGATGTCATTAAAATAGAAACATTAAATGTGGACTGACCCATTTGCGGAGATGCTACCTCCAAAAATGGATCGAATCATGTTCCACAAAGCATCTTACCTGTAACGTCAGCTCTGATGTCAGCAAGCTTAAAGAGAGGTGCAACCTGTTCATGATAAATGCGAGCAGCCTCTTTTCTATGACTATTTGGATTGACAAACACTTTTAATGACTTTGGCCTATTCGGAAAACCTTTTAAAAAAAAACAGAAGGAAAAAACCACATCAGGGTTTTTAAGGCTAATTTAAACCACTTTGAACACACAGCATTGCAAAAGAATAAAAGCATGGATCGCAAACATTAACACCTGCAGATGAATATGCATCCTGAAAAGGTACAGCAAATTCTGGTTTGTGTCTGTGGCCATCTTTTTTTCTTTATTTTTTGCACAAAGCTGCTCATTACTTATATATGCCACCTACGTAATCCTGAAACAACTGGAGCAACTGACCTGTTTGTGCATCTCTACAGCTAAGAATAACTAGTACAAATGAGTCAGTCACCCTCATCAAGAGCATTATGTGACAGCTATCACGAAAGAGGTTTTAGGTCATGGTTCAAACGTGAAAGGAGGAGGGAGATCAAGTGAGAAGAGAATATTCTCCTGAGAATTAAAAAAAAGGAAGTGCCTGTCAGCAAGGATTTGATAATAGTACCCCTTCACATTTGCTGCGGAGATTCGATACTACAATTTTAAGGATTTACAGATTATGTTTCATGCCACACAGAAGGTGCACAGGTGCAAAAGAAATCTGCCCTTGATTAAAAGGATCAATAAAATAGAGGTATGAGAGTAAGGGAGGGGGATGGAAGCCAAAATACACATTTTGAAACAACATGTCTTGTTGATAATCTTTGCTTTTATCACTACAGCATTTAAAAATAAATTATCTTGTTAACTTTCACCCACCATACAACATTATTTATCATCGATCCTAATCATGTATACATCAGGTGATAATTCAAAGGATCATTTGTTTAGCAGTTATTTTCCCCTCTCTGATATCCCCATAATTTTCAGTGAAAAAAAACACACACCAAAAATAAAACAACAGCTACAATTTTTTTTACAACATTGGCATTATCAGCACCATGCTCTAACCAACTCTTAACTAAGGACCATGGTTTATCACACCAAAAATAAACTTTGTTTTTGTGCACTGTATTGTTTCATTAGGACTTGAGGCTTGCAGGGGAAATGGACACACTCAGGTATGATCTTCCTGGACAGGCAAAATAATGTCAAGTCTCCAAGCAGAGGTCAGGGGTGTCAGGACCAAGGACAGATCGCTCTAGGGCTAGCTAGTTGGAGCTCTCCCTCCTACTACAACTATAGAGGGATGCTGCCACCCAAAGCCTTCTGTAGGCTAACAAGGCCTGTGATACGATGACTCTATCTACCTGAAGTGGGACTTTGCTTTTCTAAAGGCCTTTCCCTAATTTTGTATCCATTAGGTACTTTGGGGTTAGGGGTGTGCTGCTGGGGTTTTGTCTTCAGGTCCACGTCCTCCAGCAAAGAAAGCAAGAGAGAAGCTACTGAAAATTATTCCCTGGAGGCAGCAGCATGTGCCTCATCTTCCTCTGAATCTTCCTTAAAGTACTGAAGGCCCCTGGGGTCAGGGGCCCTGACAAGCTCTCCTCTGTCCCATCACACTGTGGATCCAGATTTAATGAACATATTACAGTTTGCTAAACCAGAGTTAACCATAGCAGCTAAGTGGAGAAACCATGGCTTAACAAGCCACATCTTTTCTAAAACTGGTCATGCATAGTGTACACAAGAGAGTGGCAAAAGGACATGCATGGGTACAAGGCTTGTTCTCAGTCCAATAACCAATGGTTTATGAGTTGGAAATTGTTATATATGAAGCCAGCAAAATATCAATAAAACCCTAAAATGATTTCCCAATGGGTCTGGAGAAATTGCTTCGATATCTCGATTCACCAGGGACTTTGTTTTCTCCTTCCCAAAATATATTATTCAGCAGTCTTATAGCAAACAACTTTATAATCTAATAATGTTATACAGTTTCAGGTCTCATTACCAGCATATAAGTGCTGTAGCCTTTGGCATCATTAGAGCCTATGTTCTATTGAATTGCTCATTGTAGCTTCCTTTGCTAAAGTGAACTAGGACTTTAAAACAAAATAGCCAACTGTTCCTCTGGTAGTAACAAATGTGCTAATATGCACTAGTTTAAACTTGATCTATCAGTGAATCAATGAACCATGAAAGGTAGGGGTTAATCAGGGAGTTCTGAAAACAAAAGCTCATAGGGCAGCAGAGACGCTATCCTCAGACACACATCTGTGCTGTTTTCACTGTTTAGTTTTATGGCAGCAGGCTTATGTTTACAAAAGTTAAGGGCTTGAAATGATGTCACTGTCACATACGTTATTAATATTTTATACAACAAGCAATAAGAAAACTGCTACATAAAGACAGAAGTAATGATGTGAATAAACATTTTTCATGCTAACTAGAGATATACCACTGTTGATGCTACACTGTTAATGTATAACATTAATGGGATAATTAAACCTTCACGCATGAAGCTTTCGATGTTCACATTAAAAACTTGGTGTGAGATGCATGTTGTAAAAGGAGCTTCTGTAACAAATTTCTTCTATAAAATAGGCACTCTTAATTTTTATACTGAAAGCATAGCTCTATATTGCTCACTGCTAAAGTCAAGCAAAAATTTAGACTAAAAACCTTTCCTAAGAGATTGTTTAAATTATGTAGTTTTAATTTAAACCAAAAATTAACACAGGTTTTTAAAAAAGGAAAATATGTCTGCATTGAAACAAACCTTTTCTGGTTTTGATGCTTTATCTTAATATTTCATAAAACCATAGAATTGTCGAGTTGGAAGGGTAGAGAACCATAGAATTGTCGAGTTGGCAATGCAGGAATCTTTTGCTCAATGTGGGGCTTGAACTCACGACTCTGGAATTAAGAGTCTCATGCTCTTCCAACTGAGCTATCCCAGCAGCCATGCAGGGATATTTCGCCCAATGTGGGGCTTGAACTCACGACTCTGGAATTAAGAGTCTCATGCTCTATGGACTGAGTTATCCTTGATTTATATTACACAGTATTCTTTTGAATACTACAACAAACTAAAGTAACCACACCAATCTTCCCCACTTCACATAGATTCCTGGTTTCAAATCTTGTTTAGGAGGAACCTGGTTACCGTACATACGTGTGTATAAGCCAACTTTTCCAGCACATTTTTTATGCTGAAAAAGCCCCCCTCGGCTTATACTTGAGTGAGGGTCCTACCCGAGCACATTTCCAGCAGCCCCTCGTCAGAGCAAGCTGTTTGCTGCCGCCGCTCGTGCCGCCTCCGCTCTGCCAAGCGTGGGCACAGGAGCCGCAGAGGCTGTTGTTGGCGGAGGCGGAGGAACCAGCAGCCCGAAAGCAGCACTTTCGGGCTGCTGGTTCTTCCTCCGCCACTGCCGCCACCAGCCTCTGCCTCTTGACAGCACCCTAGGTAGACAGGGGGACGGGAGGGGCTGGGGGTGAAAAGAGAAACCCCCTCTGCCATGTGTGCATGAGTGTGCACACACACACACTCCGGCCCACCAGGAGGTTTGAGGTGTTGTGGTGTGGTGAACTGGCTTATACTCGAGTCAATAAGTTTTCCCTGTTTTTTGTGGTAAAATTAGGTGCCTCAGCTTATATTCAGTTCGGCTTATACTCAAGTATATACGGTAAGTATGGAAAAACAAACTGGAACCAGAGGAGAGAAGGAGAAAGCATTCTCATGACTCCCAGTCTCCTATTGTGTCATATGCTTTTAACACTGCTGTCTTTGTCTTTAACTGCTGGTGGTTTTCCTTGTTTGTTTTGTTTTCTGGTTGCATTTTGTTTGGGTTTTAGGCTGTACTTTTATATTATTTTGTACACATTTTCCTGGTGTACTTTTGTAGAAAAAAGTGAGGTATAAATCCACGAATAGCAATAATAAATCCTATTTGCATTTCTAAACTAGAGACTACTGCAAACCAGAGTTAGCACAAACTCATGATTTCAGATCCTACGTTGTCAGCTCCCAAACAAATCACAGTTTGAGGGCAGCCGCAAGCTTAGAAAATAGCCTGGTTTGGATCTGTTTATTAATTCAAGTTATGAACAAGGCTTTTCCTTGAAATCCACAGTCAAATCACTAAGCATCTAATTAACAATAGTTTCTCATTTCATCCAAACCAGGAAACTATGGTAACCAACTTTAGAGCAAGTTAGTATGCTAAACAAACTTCAAATCATGGTGTATGAGACTGGGTTGTTCTGAAATCACACACAGAGCTTTACTACAGTCCATAGACCCAAAATACAATGATAGTATATAAAATGTTATTAAGGTGTAAGATCGGCCTTGCTACCCAACAGAGTAGCTTTAGTTTGTACATACTGATTTCTGATTTTCACTGCCTCCAAGAGGAATATTGCTATGGCTAGTGTAATAGTATCAATCTTATCCTCAAAGAGGACATTGCTTCTGGTGAAATGGAAAACTCTAGTTAATTAGAGATTTGCTGGTTTAATTGCTGCATGCCACAAAGGGAGGAGTGAAGTAGCTGCATATGCAGACGAAAGAGTTCATGCATATATTGGCCTGGTAAGCCAAATTATGTTCATCCAAGCACAGGCATTGACAGTGTTTTGATGTGACATTAAACCAGTTTAGCAGTACAAAAACAACCAGTACAACCCCTCCCTCCAGCACAGTTGCAATGAGATCAGAAGTTTTTGCATTTTACTTTTGTCCAAACCAATAAATGTGCTTAATGTTAATTACAATTTAGAGAAACAGGTCGGGTTTGTAAACCATGGTTCAAAATTTGCTTGCTTCTGTAAACCACAGTTAAGAATAACCACAGTTTGAGTTCCTGCAAAACAAGTAATTATAATTAGTTGAAAACAGAAGTGAAAGCTTCCCATCTCATCCTCACAGATGTGCCAAAGGAGGAATGGTAAATTGAGTGTGCAAGCCCTGAAGCTTGTGGGTGTAGTGATAAATCAGACTTTTATTGGCGAGCCAGGCCAGTAAAATGTTTGGTTTCTTGTTACATATTAACAGAGGCTTAGACTAATTTAAAATCAGCTAAGTGGGATATGTCACTAACAGAATAAGATGGTAATTCTAAGTATACTGATTTTGGGGGAAAGTCCTACAGAAATCATTAGGACTTATTTCTCAGTAAACATGTTCAGCCTCATACTGTAATTTTTTAAGGTTAAGAATGTTTAGAAAATATAGAAATAGTCTTTCTGAAGAGTGCTTACCATTCAAAATTTCCTTCAAATGCTTAAACCACAGGTAACAATGGTCCTCACTTAAATTACTTAGGTTGATGACAGAATCCTTAAGTTTGTTTCCTTCTTTTTTCAGGCAGACAAAAACTGTGATACCTAATAATAGACCACCTTTTTGCTGCCCAGCAAAACGACGGCGTTTCAATTTTACGGAAAATACATCTTTCATTTCGACAGATTCCTCTTCATTTGTCAAGCCCACATTGGAACCACCTGCCCAAAGGAGGAAGAGAGAGTGTTTATTTTCATACTACACCACAGTTTAATCCCTTATGGTTCCATCCAAACCAAAAGCGCACATACAAAATATCTATTATTATCACTTTTTTCCTGAATGCATCCCTGAAAAAATAGTTTTAGAGATACTTAAGGGCTGTTCATGAACTGTGAAGAGAGGACCAGACTCTACATTGCTAGCAACCATGTGGGACTTACAGCAGCTGCTTCCATACCACACTCAGTAATATTTAAAGTTGCTTCTTCTTCACAGAAAGGACTGTGCTACTCTCCTCCACATTATGTTATACTCCTTCTCCAATGGTTCACAAGGTCAAGAGATGAATATCTCCCTTTACAGCTGTAAAAAAATTATGAGCGCAAGCCCCGTCCTCCCCCACCGCTGCCTAATTTTGATAGCAGCTGTCCTTTTACATACAGTTACATACAGTTTGCATACAGTTTTTTTTAAGCAGTTTCAGGATATATCATGGAAGCTCCACCACAAATTCACTACCTCTCTCCCATTCTTGGTTTTCCCTCACAAAATGGGTTATATGCAAGTCAATATGTCACTGAGTAACTTTGTCAGAATGGCTGGAATTCCTTGCACCACAGAGACACAGTGCTTATTTGCATGTCACAGTAAACCACAGTTAATTTTACGTATGTCTGAACCAAGGATCATTGTCTTGTTTCACTCCCAACATGATCTGTAAACAAGGTTTGTTCATAGCTTACAGGAAAACAAACCATGAACCTTGGTTTGGACACAACACTAAGGAATTGTAGCATGTTTCCTTGGTATGCTATTGTGGAGGGGCAAAGTGGCCAAATCATCAGTTTGGTTTACCATTACATGCAACCTATTGGTTCCTTTCTTTGCTCAGAAGCAAGAAATCACACAAGATTGGCTGCCTCTGAGACTCCAAATTGGACGGCTGACTTTAAGAGAATCATATTTCTTCTAGAAGGACTCTGATAGGACTTTATTATTTATTCTTCTTGTCCTTAGCCACAGCAATTCCCCCCCCCCAATCAATGTCACCATTAAACAATGGCCTTTAGTATGAACAGTCTCATCATTAGGAAGCCATTCTTTTAATTGTCTTCCTTTAGGATGAAATTAGCAAAAACAAGCAAATAGACTTCGGCACCAAAAGCCTGAGCCTCCTTTATCACCTTCTGTTGCACTGTGGACCCAGCCTTCAAATTGTGGAATAAAACATGATCACAGCAGTTGCAGTAGACTATCAAAGTGGCCATGTACCTCTTCTTGAAGCTTTCAAGGGAAGTAGGGAACCTATTCTATAAGCTTCTCTTAACATGCATGCCTCAGAGGTTCTAGTCTACCTTGCAGTAGATTATAAAGTATCCATGCAGCAGGGAAGCCACCTGCTCCTGAGTAAAATGGTTTTCGTGTGTCCTTTCAACCATTAAGGCTGGTATTGCAGATGGCGAAATACCACGGCCAAAGGCCCATGGCCAACAAATCAAGGGAGCAAAGAGAGCATCTTGAACAAATCCCTCTGGTTACATGCCACTTATAAGACAGACAAAGACTGGTCAACCAAAAGTATTTCTGCTTCCTTTTCTTTGCTTTTATATTGTCTTACTATAAAAAAGCTACCTTACAGCTATTCTGGTTGCTGGTGCTGGAATGTAAAAATAAATAAATGGCTGGTTGCATTCCTTGAAACTCTAGATTGACATCTTATGGAGAAGCCTTACTAGAATGGATATGTAGCCTTTCCTCCTAAGCACCATGGAAATCACAGTGCATTGTTTCTTACAATTCTAAAATCACTTTTTCAATCCAATGGGTGCTCATGGCGATGTACAATGATTATATGTCATTAACATTAGAAATACATTTTCAACTTTCAAACTTTTGACTTCATCTGCATCTATGGAATTTTGAACACCTGCTTCTCACTACGTTAAAAAAAGAAACTATTTTATTTCCCATATTCAAAATCTTCTAAATAAGCTAAACTTGCCTTTAAAAAAACCCCCACACAGTAATTCTTTCCATTCAAGAACTATCCATTCATTAGTATCATACTGATTATTCCTAGCTGTTTCAAAACATTAACTATCCTCTCATATTACCTAGAAGGATACAGGGTACCATCTGTTCTTATAAGGGGTTTAAGTATACATTAGATATCATGCTATTTATTTAATTCAGCACCCACTTCCCATTGTATTTTTCCCCCCAAGTCAATTTAATTACAAGGAATAAAGATAATCTTTCCTGCCAGGTTGTTCCATCACCATAAGAGCAGAGCAGGGACCTTCATAAAGTAGGCTGCACTTGTTAGGTCCTCTTCCATTTTTAACTACACTTAACGTTAAGAAAGGTCTTAACAAAAACAACACTACACAGCTCTTAAAAATATTATTATAAGCCAAGAGCTTGTCTACATCAATTTTGGCACATCTGCTTGATAGAGAGCATAAACAGGATTAGCTGGATTTATCTGCTTGACGCTAATTGTACTCACAGTTTCTGCACATGTCCATTTCCCCCAAATACAGCATGAAAAATAAGTATGGCTAAGATAGTTATTTCTACCAGCATGTGTTACGCACTTGGATAAGGCATGCTATATTCTTAAGTAAACGAGTGCTCCTAAAATGGGTTCAGACGTGCATTTTCCTCTAATTACTATCTATAATTACCTTTGAAAAATTCTTCACACTTTGCTAAACCTTAATTCTCTTCAGCCTGAGAGTGAAATGAGGGGGAAGAGGATTTCTCATTCTTTTCTCCTTGCTTCCCCCTTCAGCTTGGGGATCCAAACCGAGGGGTAGGGGAAGAGAGCAAACTGGCCCCGCAGGATATGTACCTTAGATACATATCATCTGAGTCAAAGTCCCAGCCTTCAAAAGAGTCTTTTAAGTTGAAGGGCAATTTTTTTCCTTCATAGCTGAGGTGAAGTGTGAGGAGTGATTGTATTAGCTAAGCTTGACCTCGGCCAAAATGGCACCTGCATTGTCTTCTTGTTTGGAGGCTATGAGAATAAGTAATATCCCAAGCTTTGAAGGCCTTTCCTATTTCTGGATTTCCTATTTCTGCCAGAAAATAGAAGTTAGCCAGGAAGCAGGCAATATAAGTTGCTAGAGCTGTACTCCCACAGAGATTAAATAACCATGGGGTGGTCTGGCCTCACAGGATTGGCCTCAGAGAAGATACACCCTTGGGCCCACATTCTCTAACCATCCAGAGGCCTTTGTTGAATGTTGTTGTTGTTGTTTAGTCGTTCAGTCGTGTCCGACTCTTCGTGACCCCATGGACCAGAGCACGCCAGGCACTCCTGTCTTCCACTGCCTCCCGCAGTTTGGTCAGACTCATGTTTGTGGCTTCAAGAACACTGTCCAACCATCTCGTCCTCTGTCGTCCCCTTCTCCTTGTGCCCTCCATCTTTCCCAACATCAGGGTCTTTTCCAGGGAGTCTTCTCTTCTCATTAGGTGGCCAAAGTATTGGAGCCTCAGCTTCATGATCTGTCCTTCCAGTGACCACTCAGGGCTGATTTCCTTAAGAATGGAGAGGTTTGATCTTCTTGCAGTCCATGGGACTCTCAAGAGTCTCCTCCAGCACCATAATTCAAAAGCATCAATTCTTCGGCGATCAGCCTTCTTTATGGTCCAGCTCTCACTTCCATACATCACTACTGGGAAAACCATGGCTTTAACTATACGGACCTTTGTTGGCAAGGTGATGTCTCTGCTTTTTAAGATGCTGTGTAGGTTTGCCATCGCCTTTCTTCCAAGGAGCAGGCGTCTTTTAATTTCGTGACTGCTGTCACCATCTGCAGTGATCATGGAGCCTAAGAAAGTAAAATCTCTCACTGCCTCCATTTCTTCCCCTTCTATTTGCCAGGAGGTGATGGGCCCAGTGGCCATGATCTTCGTTTTTTTGATGTTGAGCTTCAGACCATATTTTGCGCTCTCCTCTTTCACCCTCATTAAAAGGTTCTTTAATTCGTCTTCACTTTCTGCCATCAAGGTATCATCTGCATATCTGAGGTTGTTGATATTTCTTCCGGCGATCTTAATTCCGGCTTGGGATTCATCCAGCCCAGCCTTTCGCATGAATTCTGCATTTAAGTTAAATAAGCAGGGAGACAATATACAGCCTTGCCGTACTCCTTTCCCAATTTTGAACCAATCAGTTGTTCCATATCCAGTTCTAACTGTAGCTTCTTGTCCCACATAGAGATTTCTCAGGAGACAGATGAGGTGATCAGGCACTCCCATTTCTTTAAGAACTTGCCATAGTTTTTGTTGAATACATAATGCCAAAAGTAATAAACGAGACCAGCTCATTACTGTCACAGTATTGAATTCAAGAAAATGCCAATTACTTGTTTGTATGGGAGATGTGCTATTCCAGCCCCTCCCTCAGCACCCAAGGATCAACTTTGTTATGAGTTGAAAAGTGCTATCTGTTGAATAAAGCAGAACATCTCATATAATGATTAACTCTGGAGATTTTCAGTCTCTGGATTTAAACACTTCTCTTTTCTGTCTTGTGTCACAAAGGGCACAAGCAACAATGCAGCCAAACTGTCTGTCTTAGGGCAAAAAATACCTAACTGAATTATGATTAACGTTAATGTATATCATGGCTACATACATGGCTATTAAAAAATAAAGGTATGTCTAACACTGCATTCTATACACTTAGTTCAAAGCAACTGGAGGTAAACCTCATTGTACAAAGCAAATATGCTCTATGTACCTGTCAAATATTTTCCAGACAAATTTGACAGCAATATGATCTGATCCATTTGAACCAAACCTACTTTTCACTCACAGCAAGAAATCACAGTATTAAATAATACTGTGCAGTCTCTTAGAAAAGCCCATTTCTTACGGATGAATGAAAGTTTCCTTTCAGAGGTATCTTCTGTATAAACAGTAAAGCATCACTGAATATGACCCAGCACTCTGTTGAACTTCAGCAAGTATAGCTGCAGGATTAAATGATAAAGCTCAGAAACTTCAAAAGACACATGGCACTAAGGGCTTATTCACACATGCACACCAGTTTACTGATTCAGTATTTCATACCATTTTGATTCCCAGTTGCGCATATGAACTACCACCATTTAGTGTGGGGAATACTAATATGTGAATATATAAGTTCTTTCTCATGCTCAACACATGCCACTCCTTGTTTTATGCTGCAGCCATTAGGCAGTGAACATACATGTGTGAATTGACCTGGACATATTTGAAGATGTGGTGAAATGAGTTACTGAAAGTTCCTATTGCAGGATGCAGACTGTAGTTACTACTAGGATGTTTAAAAATAGGGTAGAAGTCAACTAATGAGTCCTGTCTGCAGAAGTCCTATGCAATATGGCTTTCCCCACCTCCCCTCCCCTGTGTCCCATGCCTCCCAAACTGGCTCAAGGTAGAGTTGGGAGAACCCCAAAAGAGCATTTAGGGGAAGAATAGGGGAATTGTTCCATCTGGAAAGTCAAAATGCTTGTCGTGACAAAACTCACATTTTAGTGCAACGTTTAATTCCTCTCATAGTGTCCATGGGGTGGGGGTGGGAGGGTTCAACTAAATTTTACTCAGAGTAGACCCATTGAGCTCAATTGACTTAACTTAGTCATGTTCATTAATTTTAATGTGTCTACTCTGAGTAAAACATTGTTGACTACCATCCTTAGAGTAATATTAAGCCCTAGTATTCTCATACCTAATATTGCTTGGAAATTCTAGGTACCCAGTGGTTAAACTCAGTGCAAAATGGTGCCCAATTATATCCACACATAGACAAAAGCCTCTCCTTGATCACAGGAAGAAAATTAGGTTGTGCTATCTGAAAAGGTGACCAAATCCGATAACAAATAAGCAAGTCTCCAAAACATATAGTAAACATGTAAGAATCTGTATGTGCTGTAATATTTTACCAAAGTTTGTGTATGAGTGTGCATACACACCCTAAGTGAAAAAAGTTTTATAAGTGTTTATATACTATTGTATGTAACATCAAGGCAATCTGTGCTTCCTATGAAGCAGATACCACACACAATGGGCAAGCACACAACATTCAGACCACAAAACTACTTCCAGTTCAAACTGTGTACTCTTCCCCCCATGTTGTTTTGTGCCATGTGTTGCACTGTGTGGTGCTTGTAATCATTATATCCACCTGTGAATCAGATCAGTCAATCAGGTCAAGAACAGTAAGCTGACTGGTCAGAAACGTAACATAAAAACCTCACATTCCTGATAATACAAGATTTTGCACACAAGTGAAAGTGCATCAACGCAACACAATCAGTCAATGCAGAACACAAAACCGTACAGGGCTGACTTAGGATGAGTCTGGAAAAGCATTGCCTGTGTTCTTCTTTGTAATATACTTGTCAGCTGCATAAGGAGAAAAGCTAATCCTGTATGTAGATTTCATTATTACTCTGCAGCCTTTATCCATGGTAACCATAATTCTTAATCCTACCATTCTCTGCAACTGTAGTCTTATTTCTATCTCATCTTATTCCTACCAACTATATCCAAACAAACAAACAAACAAAGACCACATATGCATCAAGAACTGTACTAAGCAGTGGGCACAAAAGAGACAGTGTCATACAGAAATTTTGGTTAGGAATCCGATTCCTAGAAATACACAACAACTCATGATAATAATGTCCCCCTTCCCTCCCACCCTTGTCCTGGCATTGTAGAGCTAAAATCCCTTCCCCACCCCCAGGCATTAGACAGCCATGGGCACCTGTACATCCTGCCCCTGCTTGAAGTGTGATGAGGAAATCTTATGGACCACAGACTAAGGGTGCCAACTATCAAGCTGTGGTCCAGCCAGGTGGGGAGTGCAAGCACCCTTCTGTTGTTGACCAAGAGGGACAGAAGAGACTTCAGTTAATTACTATATTGCAGCAGGGGACTGTGAGGTAGGGGGGTCCACCAAGTCCTCATTCACTAGAATCATCCCAATTATGACATTAGGTTGGCTTGTGGAGGGGGGGAGAACACACGAAAGACCAGCTTACCCACCCCCACTATTATATCACAGCTACCCAACCCAAATTGTTGTTGATTGATAAGAGGGGCCTGGTACTGGCCACTTAGCAGTTGTTCATCTATGTACAGAGATCAGGATAACCAATAGGGCTATTTCAAAATGGGGGGGGGGGGACAAGCTCAGGACATGAATTTGTTATTACATTTCAGTTATTTTTCACTATCACTTTAATATTTCTTATATAATCTTCTCTCTCTCTCTCTCTCTCTCTCTCTCACACACACACACACACAATCTCTATAAATACATCATATCATAGCCAATGACAATAATTTATTCCTGGTATCAGAAAGTATGTCATTGGCTCAGGTTTTTTTGTTTCTCTAACACTCTCTCTGTTTCCAAGATACACACTACTATGCAGAGCGTAACATCTGTTGCTTCAGAGATTGAAAGGTTTGCAGAACCTGCCTAAGCATACTTTCCTATACCCTGCTATTAGGTCAATTTACAGGGAAGATATACGGTCTTAACTCAAATCAATTAGAACATGGCGAGTTAGCTGTACACCGTATACAGCTCTGTCATTTAAAAGCTGCACTGATCAGTTTCTGGTCTAATCTTCTTGTCAAAAAGCAAGTAAATATTGCATCTATTTTAAATCAGTTTCTTTTCTTTGTAAATATTTTTTTTTTTTTAAAGCAATTTATTGGATTTTACAATAAGAATAAATGTAATAAACAATATAACATTCGTCTTAACATAGTTTCACATTTTCTTTGGACTTCCTCACATCTCCCGCTCCCACCTTCATCATTATAACATTTTGTCAGCAATTTATCATCTTATTTAAGTTCTTATATCTCTTCAATATTTCATAATCTTAAAGTTCTCATAAAGAGTTAAACTTTCACAGTTTTTCTTATTTTCTTAAAAATTTCTAAGTTAAGTGGTGCTCAGTTATTTAGTCTAGCATCTTATTCAGCATTCAGTCAAATCACAATGTTTTTGTAGATAGTTCTTAAATTTCTTCCAATCCTCCTCGATTCTCTCTTCTCCCAGGTCACGGATTCCTTTTCTTTGTAAATATATTGCCCACTAAGTTATGTTGTGTTGAGACATTAATTTATTAATGCAATAAAAAATTAAATGTTTAATGCATACAAAATCAGATCATTAGAAGTTTACTTATCAAGGGAATGCTTCCTAGTCTAACCAGAGAACTAAAAGCCCCCAAAGAAAACTAAATTCTCAACTGATACCTGCAATCTTGCAGACTTCCAAACATGAATGCAAACATGCTATTTTCAACATTTCAAGAAGCATTAGTTTATACAATTAAATATTATTTACTTAATATATTTCTTATCTACTCTTCACAATCTCAGAGCCTGGTGTGTTACATTTTAAAAAGAAATGCGACAGAAAAAGCCACCATTGTTCACTAAGGGTTGTATTCCTACTCAGAGTAGACCCAATGAAATAGATAGATATTAGGGATGTTAATTTTAATGTGTCTACTTTGAATAAGTTGAATATGGCCCTATGTTAACAACCAGTAAGCTAGTAAATCACAACAGGCTCCAGCCTTCATGCCTAGCAAATGCCTGAGCAAAAAATTCAAGCTTTACATCAACAATAGTAAATTTTTAGAAGTGTTTGCAACTCTTTCAGTGTTCTATGCAAACAACTGTTGCCTTTATCTGAAAGTTACCCAGCACACTGACAGGTAATAAAAGGGTTTCAAAACAAGGTAACTGTCCAAAAAAACACCCATTTTGCTCTTTTCAAGTGCTTTGGATCATTAGCAGGTAAAAACTTACGCTCATGGGACTGTGCCGTGCAATAGTAACTTTCTACCAGAAGTCAGCAGACCTATGATGGCAGTTCTAGCCATGCAACTTGGAGGCATGGATTAACCAACAACAACATGTGCTGATATTAGCTCTGCCTGTTATTATACTTTATGGTGCCATTGCCAAACAACACTGCATATTTCTTCCAGAAGTCCGTTTCTCCCAAGGTAAAGGTAAAGGGACCCCTGACCATTAGGTCCAGTCGTGACCGACTCTGGGGTTGCGGCGCTCATCTCGCTTTATTGGCCGAGGGAGCTGGCGTACAGCTTCTGGGTCATGTGGCCATCATGACTAAGCCACTTCTGGCAAACCAGAGCAGCACACAGAAATGCCGTTTACCTTCCCACCAGAGTGGTACCTATTTATCTACTTGCACTTTGACGTGCTTTTGAACTGCTAGGTTGGCAGGAGTAGGGACCAAGCAATGGGAGCTCACCCCGTTGCAGGGATCTGAACTGCCGACCTTCTGATCGGCAAGTCCTTGGCTCTGTGGTTTAACCCACAGCGCCACCCACGTCCCTCCCAAGACTTCACCCCAAATGCATCAAATACTAGTATGATGTGCAATGAAAGCTGCCATAGTATCCCTGCTTCACCCTTGCTTTCACCGAAGCATTACACTCATACAGAATAATTTATTTTGAATGAATATGTGGCACTGGAATAGAGTCTAACCCAACTGCAACTTGTGAAGGTTGTTACTTTAGATGGCTGCTCCTTTGAAACACCCATAGGACAAGCTGGGGAACGGCAGGCAACTCACAGAAATGAAAAACAAAACAAACAAACAAACAATAAAGCTTCCACAGTTCAAATAACTTTAAAAATATTAAGGGAATAAGGGAGCGATCTTAATCCTGCACTACCGGGGGAGGTTTAGAATTGGCAGTGAGCAAGTTCTGACACTGGGAAGTCCCCATCGTGCCCACGGAAAGAGTAGACTGTTGTGAAGCTACATTGGATGGTGTTCCTGCTGGCAGTAGCCAGAGTAAGGCTTCAAAATGCAGAGGCAGAGCAGTGTCAGACAAGGATCCCCGGATCCCATGTCAGTCTGTTTGCAGGAGACATAGCTGGGAGTTAGCGTAACCAAAACTGCACGTGCACAAAACACACAATGTCACCCCCCCAGCCCCTTGCACTCAGACCAGCTGGAGCTAATGGATCTTCAAATGTGGCAGAAGCTCTGAGCAACGGTGGTCTCCTATTACAATTGCTCTGCCCAATAACAACAAAATAACCATGCCCATTTAACAATTGGGTCTAATATGTAGATATGACAAAGGGAGACAGAACTCAACTATCTTCCTACAGTTAGCTGATTAGTACTAAAAAAATTTTTTTGTTTAAGTCACACAATACTGAAAAACTAGAGAATTGTAGCTGCAATTAACCAAAAGGTCAAATTCTAAACGGAAACAGCAGATACCACCACAAGAGTAACAGATGTTCTTTGAGTTCATCTGGACAAAAACATAAGCATATGTGAAAGAAATCCAATACTATCATAAAATCAGTTGGTGTCTAAAATAATAGCAGGCCCTTATGGCAGAATGGTAATGTATGTATCAAATGTACAACACATTATGTTTCAACAGAATGTTCCGATAAGAATTCATAACCAGCAGAAATTAATGCCAGATTCCCCTCCCCCCCCCAGCAAGGAGAAGCTACATAAAGATTATAGCAGGCTATTAAGGCATGCAAGCACATACTGCTCAGAATTCACAGCTATTCAGATTTGATCTGTAAATGCAATATAAAGGTAACGATTAAGTTCCACTATCAACAAAAATAGAACTTCACAAAATAACGCAAACACAAAGGACTTTGCTAAGGTGAACAAAGCTGCAAGCCAAGATAACGAACAGTCATTTTGCTACTGCTTTAGAGTTTTTCAACATACAGTAAAATTCTTTCACACCTCAGTATGTTTTTCTTAATAGGACACCACTATGCAAGAAACATAGACCAGCCACCACAAGTTAAGGGTATAATTAAGTGGAAGATTCTAAAATGCACTAAAATTTTGATATCCCTTCCATTCTGTCTCATGTGTTCAAGCTGTGGGGGGAGAAAATAACCATGAAAATAATGCTTGCTACAATTTAATCAACCTGGGAGAGTTGCACCTATTTATTCTTAAAACTTGAAATCTGCATTTCTGCAAACTGTATTCAAGGTAACTTCACAAAGAGTAAAATGTAATAAAAATGCAGTGAGTTACAGAGCAATCCTAACTCTCCCCCCCCCCCCCCATGCTGTCCTGAGCTCAGGACAGTACAGTGTAAGAAACTCAGCTATATAAAATATTCACCAAATGGCACCTTACAAATCAGTGACAGTCATCACAACGGAGTGTCTAGGTGCCATAAAATAAAATAAAAACCAACAAGATTACAAAGCTGAAAATAAATTGTGTACATTGTCAGCACAATAAAATTCAAAAAGTATATTGTGTTTTTCTTTTTTTTTCTTTTTTGCCGCTGTTTTAATTCCCTTCAATTATTTCGTTTCAATTAATTCCCTTCAATTAAGGTCGTTTGTGGCCTTTTGAAAAATGGAAGCAATTAACCAATCCAAAAAGAATGCATCAAGAATAAAAAGAACACCCCAAACCATATATTTGTATTTTGAGCAAATTAATCCAGAGTAACTACCATTTCCAGCCAGCCAGATGGAGATGTCAGTCACGAAACCTGGTGACAAAACATCTCAAATTGGTCACAAGTAAACCACCCAAAGTAACAAAATGTGCCTGGAACCCAGGGAATTTTGAACACTGGGACAGTGTTACATTAAAATGACAGTATCTAACCACCTCATAAGGACGCAGGTGGCGCTGTGGTCTAAACCACTGAGCCTTGGGCTTGCCGATCAAAAGGTCAGCGGTTCGAATCCCCGCGATGGGGTGAGCTCCCATTGCTCGGTTCCAGCTCCTGCCAACCTAGCAGTTCGAAAGCACACCAAAAAGGCAAGTAGATTAATAGGTACCGCTCCAGCAGGAAGGTAAATGGTGTTTCCATGCGCTGCTCTGGTGTCAGTGTTCTGTTGTGCCAGAAGTGGCTTAGTCATGCTGGCTACATGACCTGGAAAAACTGTCTGTGGAGCAGACAAACGCTGGCTCCCTCGGCCTGTAAAGCGAGATGAGCGCCACAACCCCAGAGTCGTTCGCGACTGGACTTAACTGTTGGGGGTCCCTTTACCTTTACCTTTAACCACCTCATAAAAAAACATACATTGGTTTTCTAAAAATAAAATCTATGTAAATTACAAAAATGCTTCATGCTGTTTGTACTAAAATAGATTCATCCTCCAAAGATTTGCGTAAACAGATGTGTTTTTAATTGACACTTGAATATCAAAAGTGAAGGGGACAAACACACTTCCAAGGGAAGTGAGTTCCACAGTTTGGGTGCCACAACAGGGAAGATTCTGTCCCATTTCCTCACACAACGAAATATGAGGTTTCCCCCGCCCAAAGATCTTAGATACTGGGTCAGCTGTGGGGCTGTTCTACCAAATACCTGGGTCCCAAACCATTGAGGGCTTTTAATTAATACCAAAACCTTGAATTGGACCAGGTAGCTCACTGGAACCAATAACAGTGATTAGCCGAAAGGTGGCCGTGTGGGTGACATCTAGCACTGTATTGGTAACAGCAGACTTCAAATCTATTAACCTATCCCAGTCATTTCATGGATATATTAGAATCCCACTAAAAGCCCCAGAAGGTCTTTAAGAAAGATTCCATGGTTGTGAAAGCCAATAAAAGTCCAATAAAATCAATGAAGGTTAACTGCACATGTCTGTCTTCCAGCAACAGGCCATCAACCAGAATAAGCAAAGCAGTTTCAGTCCCAAAACGAAGTCAGAATCCTGAAAGAAATGGGTTTATAACCCTTAATCTCCATCACACAAAGATGTTTGGACGTGGGTAGCTATTACCCACTTGAGTACCTTGCCCCAAAAGGAGAAACTTGCAAGCAACCTGTAACCTTGCAGATATTGTATTCCATCTCCCAACACCTCTGACTATTGGTCATGCCGAGTCTGGCTGGGGGGAGTCAGGAATCCAAAAACTTTTGGAGGGCCATAGATTCCCCACCCTTTAAAGCTTAACAGAGTTAATGTGTCCAGAGAAGGCTGCTTTGTTGTAGTATCATAACAAGCTCTTACAACTGTACACTGTAGGAATCCACCCTTATAATGCATTCTTTCTTTTTCCTAATCAAATATTTCACTTTTTAAAACTTTTGGGGTTGGGGTATTTATAAACACGCGCGCGCACACACACACACACACACACAATGTAAAATGAGCATGACATCCTTTTTTTCATTTGTTTACGAAATATAAGAAACATGAACATCATAAATCAGATACAAATGGATTTTGCAACATTAGAAAAACCTTCCCATATCACTGGGCAAACTAATGCCTAGGTTGGGAGGAGGTGAGAAGAGGAAACCCAATGATGGCTATAGATGTTGTGCAATTAGAAAGACAGGGGACACAGCACTGTCTCCCGCACAACAACCAGGTCACCAACTCATCTACAAATGCTTTTAACTGAATGTAAAACAATAAAAAGCATTGGGCATGTATCTAAGCCCAGCAGCCAAAACATACATGGACCATTGAGCCCTTGTCACATACAACAAATATTAGGATTCCCTTTCAGACTGTTGTGTTGTGAGCAACCAGTATGTTAGACTTTCATATTTTATGCCATTATGTCATCATCTTTACTTGCTTTCCTATATAGGACTTTGCTGAGTTTTACATACCAGTTCCTTTATTGGCTGACTAATCAACTCACGACTATCACTTCCTTGTAGTGCTTGCTCTGCACATAGCATCAGCAACCACACTCATGCCTCTTCCTTACTCTCCTAGGTATGCAACCAGAGTTGCAAATTTCATGAACATTTAACTCATTTCCCAATAATCATGCACAGGAAGGATGCCATGTCGTCACCCTGTGCATTCAGTTGGCCATGCAGAAAGGGGCTTGTTTATATTTTTGCACCTTTATTCATTCTGAGGACTGCAAGACTGTGTGTGGGATTCCAAAGAGTATCAGTAGCCATTTGGAACCATTAGTGTTAAAATATTACTTCCAATCGTACCATACATTCCAGTCTTGTGCCACTTTTCACAGTCACAGCTTCCGCCAAAGAATCCTGGGAACTGTAGTTTGTTGAGAGTTGTTGGGAGACCCCTCGCAAAGCCACAAAACCCAGCAGTCTTAACAAAACAAAGTTACAGGAATTCTTTGTGTGGGAGAGCGATGACTGTTAAAGTGTGCATGCATCAAAAATGTGAGAGACTGGGTGCACAAGCACAACCCATTCCATGTTTCCATGGCTATTGGGCAGCCCCCAATTTTTTGTTTGGCCTCTATGTGACGTTAACATATGAGAGTGCTGGAGGTGAAATAGTTAAACAAGTTACCCAATCAGAACCCAGGGGAGTGGAGTCAGAGGGACTATAAAACCAGCTCTGGGAGGGGCAGAAAGGAGGAGTTTGTTGGGAGTTGGGTGGTTGGTTGGAGTGGGAGTGAATTGGGATAGAGTCTGTGGGTAGGTTGAGTTAGTGTAGTGAAATAAGCTGAGTCAGGAACAGTTAGGAACTAGGAAGACAAGGTGGTTTAGTGAGTGAGAGCAGGTAGCGGAAGTTATAGGTCTGGATAGGCCCCCCATGATTGTAATTGACTGAGACCGTTTATGAAACCACACACTTGTTAAACTGCAATAAATAAACAGAAGTTTATGTTCCAATTTAACCCTGACTGGACTCAGTATTGTACCAGGTAGGGCCTGGGTAGTGGCAGCGAGAAATAAAGTGGTGGCACAGGGATCAATAGACGGTGAAACATCCGGGGACCCTTCCAGTCAGTGCCTAAAAACATTACCCTCTCTTTTATGCATTCCAATGCTCATTAGGAAAGAACCAAACTCTTTCCTGTAGCTATTCCCTGCCAAAATGATCCATCCTGATGTCAGCTTAAGAGACAGCAAATTCTTCCTCATTTCAGATGCCCATGATCCAGCACTCAAGAAAGAGCATCATTTGCTTCTCAGGTAAACAGAGATGTCAACTTGACTAAAATATTGGTGGGGGAGGCAGCCCTGCCTTGCAAAACTGATCCCATGATCTGGTTCACGCACAGTATTTGAATGGCAATGCCCATCAACTGGGGGGGGTGGCTGGCCCCCCAGAAATATTTAACGGGGGAGGCACACGAAGGAATACCAGCCCCTTCTATCAAGGATGCCAACTTGAATAAAATATTGAGAGGGGGCAGGTAAGCCCTGTCCCACATAATCGATCACATGATGCGGTGTACACACCCAATTTGAATGGCAATGCCAATCAACTTTCTGGGGTGGGGCTCAAATATGTTATTTGGGGGGTGGGCAAAGGGACATCAGCCCCTAGGAGGTGGCTCCTATGCAAGTAACCCACGCATCGGTTGCACGCCAGTCCCAAAGTTAACAAAACTTTTATTTCACTAAGAGAGGCAGGCTACCCTCTGACGTCACGCCCTGCCCACCTTGGCGGCACGTCTTTGAGTGACACAGCGGAGAGGGGGGCGGGATGGAGGCGGAGGAATGTGAGGGCAGGAAAGGAACTGAGGCTGCGCTGCACCCGCTGCCGAAGCGGGTTCGAGACCCGTTGTCAACTCAGCAGCCCTTCCTGCCATGCTCGGGCTGTAGCTCCGCTTACACGGCGGTAAACCCCGCCGAATTCAGCAGAGGAAGCTGTGCACGGAGCAGAAGAAAAATCCAAGCAGCGTTTGCTGTTGTTCCTCACATTGGCTCGCTCTCACCTACGGGCCTCTCGGGCTGGATGGGGCTCCAGCTGAGCCTCCGCGCGCTCAGCACCACGTCGCAGCTCCTCTTGCCGACGCCGAAAATCCCCCTCAGGAGGGGCTGCTCGTCTTCGTCCCGCGCCTCCGCCTCCCGCACCGGGGGCGCCCCCTTTGCTCTCTCCTCCTCCGTCGAGGAAGAGGAGCGGGAGGAGGGGGCGCCGTCGCTTCCCTTCCACCCAGCGCCCGCTGCTGCTGCTGCTGCCGCCACCCCGAAAGGGTCCTCCGGGCTCTCGGCGGCCCAGGCTATCCTTCTCCCGGGGCGGTGCATGGCAGGCAGGCAGGCAGGCAGGCAGGCTCCTCCAGCTAGGAAGGAGAAAGGGGGCAGGAAAGGCGCCTCAGCGCGTCGCCGCCGCTACCAAGGCAGCGAGCCGCTCTCCTCCCCCTTGTCCCGGGTCCAGCTGGAGGAGGGAGGGGGAGCGCGCGCGCGCATTCGGCTTTGAGCTTAGGCGCGCGACCTCTGCCATCTCCCCGCCTCCCTCACGACCAACTTTTAAGCCTGTTTCCCGCCCCGCCCTGGTCACGGGGTCGGCCTCAAGGAGGATGAGGGAAACTTTTTCTGAAAGGCGGGAAAAGAGCCGCGAGACTGAGAGGGATGGTTCTTTTGAATTCCTCCGCACGGAGGAGCGCGGCTCAGTTGCCTCAGAGGGAAAGGGGTGGGGAAGACAGAGGTGTTGTGCAATCACCAAACTGCCTGTTGGTTTACTTCACGCAGCGGTTCTCAACCTGTGGGTCCCCAGATGTTGTTGGACTACAACCCCCATCATACCTGAGCTCTGGCGTTGCTAGCTAGGGGTGATGGGAGTTGTAGTTCAACAACATCTGGGGACCCACAGGTTGAGAAAGGTTGCTTCAGAGCTTCCCAAACTTGGGTCTCCAGCTGTTTCTGGACTACAGTTTCCATCATCCTTTGACTGCTGATCCTGCTAGCTAGGGGATGATAGGAGTTGTAGTCCAAAAAAGTTTGGGAACCATTGGTATGATGGATTAATTTATAAACCACTTGCTCAAAAGAATAAAACCGACGCCCTTCCCCAACCATTTCTGCTGATGCATCCTCTTCGTTTCCCTGCAGAAGTTATTGGAGAGAGTTTTCTATTCATTAACTTGTTTGGGAGTAAGATGACACCCACACCCAGAAATGTTCGCAGAGAATCTCTACAACCACAATTACAAAAGTCTTATGTTCCCAGGGAAAGTGAAGTCTTTGGGGGAAAGGCTTTTGAATTGAGGACAGCTGCGCAGAAGCAACAGCCAAATATTGGCCCCTGGGATATATGGCACCAATGAAGGCATGTAAGGCAATATAGGCCAAGTTGAGCACTGGAGTGGCAATGCCCATCAACAGTTACTAAACTGGGGCACATGGTTGTTTAGAAGTGCTTTCTTGAAACCTAAAATCTTGGCACTGTTACCTGGCCTGAGTCACCATGGTTAGAGTACACAAGTTTGTCAACATTGAAGTTGATTGTTACCTTTCCTTAAAGAGGTCAGTATGTAGCTCATTGTCGGAAGTTATTGCTACTCTCTCACAAACGCAACAAACCTAAAAGATATACCTATTCCTGCCTCTTTCCCCCTCAGAAGGATTAAATATGACATTTAGGTACACACCCTGTTTCTGAAAAGAAAAGAAAAATAGTGGGAGGTTTGCCGCTCACATTAATGAATTCCTGGTTTCGCCACAATAGTCACACCAAAAAACCACTTCTCAGTGCATGTTTTCTATCCATACAGTGAATGCAGCATTAGCACAGTGTAAAAAATGCTAACCTGGATTTTATAAATATGTTCAGTGCTTTTTTCTGGGGGGATGCAGGGGGACACATACCTCTAAACATCTTGTGAATCTAGGTTTGGCCTCATTGAGGGGCATTATTTCAATATGAGTAGGAAAATAAGAGCACCCCTAAACATTTTTTTGAAAGGAAAAAAAAGCACTGAATATGTTGATCGCCAACTTGATTGCTTGAGCATAGGGCAATAAATTCTCCTCCTCCTCCTCCTTCTATATTATTATTGTTGTTGTTGTGGTTGTTGTTGTAGTAGTAGTAGTAGCATTATGATCCTAAGTCCAAGGAGACTGGGGTAGCAGCCTTGGTGATGTGAATTTTCCTATTTGTTTATTGATGCAAACAGCCAGGCAGTTTATAGAGAGCCAGGCTGGTTGAGTGCAGGGTTGGTTCAGCCTTTACTAACCCAACACCTTTGGGGTACAAAACATCTGTTGTGATCCAAAGCATTGAGGGGGTCAGGGTGATGAAGGCTGGTGTTATAGATAAGGCCTGTGCAGAACCTCAGGCCTGGGAACCAAATATGACTCTCCCAGCCTCACAGTCGGGTCCTCAAAAAAGTTCCCAAGCCACAAACTTCACTGGCCCTGCCTCACAGTCTTGGTTGTATCGGGTGTTAGGGGAGGGGTAGTACTCTGATGGGGGACATGTCATGCTCTTTCTGGGGTGGCTTGTTCACCTTTGTTCCCCATCCTACACTCAACTCTCACCTGTGACCAGGTGAATTAAAAATTGTTGGACAGGCAAGCCCAATTCCTGCCCCCAAGATGCAGCCCCTACATACCTTTTGAATGGCAATGCCCTTTAACTGGGGGGTGGGGTGGGGATTCCGCCTTGTAGGATGGTGTTCCCAGAATGATGTTACAGGCTACATACCACAGGTATTCATTTATGCTTTCCATCTTAAATATCACTCAGTCTGTGACGCAAAGTGCCCAGAATCTGAAAATTAAATGCAGCAATTCAATGCCTTGCACACCCTGCCAACAATTTAATAGTATAAGTGAATGCATTAAGAGTGATGTCAGGCTTAATTTGGATTACCTTACTTGTGACAGCTTGTTAAGTACATATTTCAATATATGTATGTATTTTTAATTAGGGGAAAACACATATGCATTTAAACAACAGCTCGGTTGCAAACCAAATTTCCAACCCACCACTCTAATATGTATTAATATATTTTATGTTGTGGGAGAACCAGTCATAGTAGTGGTCTTCCAACTAAGTGACCTATTTAGGCTATTCTTTGGGACATGGTAAATTCCAGTCACTTGGGGCACAATCTAGTTTGGTAGAATATAAAGAGCTGTGCCTTTCTTTTTCTTTTCTTTTTTTAAAGTGCTTTTGTAGAACTAAACATGTCCTCCTTTTGCAATATACTGGAACAGTGCTAGGATTATGTTCAGGGTCAGAGAACGTGTAGCCCTCCAAACACTGTTGAACTTCAACTCCCATATCAGGACCCTTCAGCATGGTCAATTGTTAGGGATTGTGGGAATTAGAATAATAGAATTGTATAGAGCTGGAAGGGACCCAAAGAGTCATCTAGACTTCCAACAACTGGCAGGACATGGTTAACCACCCACCCACTACCCCACTCTTGATAGCTGATGATTATTAAGTAATAACTTTTGTTAAACAAGTTTTGAAGGACTGGAACAGATTTTATTCTGTTTGTTTGTTTGTTTGTTTGTTTGTTTAAGCCACCTCTCAAGACCTGATATTCCCCCCCACACACACACCTGTGTACAATGAGGTTAACTTGAGTGGACAGGAGTTTGAGATGAAAGGTGCTTTAGAGTGGACTACCTTGCATCACTCCCCAAAACTACTTTAGGAAAATGGAAGTGGCTTGTGGCAGCTGTGGCGAGGAAATGCCTTCTACACAAACTTGAGACAAAACAACAGTAGCGACTCTATAAGGCTGGATTTGTAAATTAAGAGATTTACTCCCAGCCACCACTTTCCACCAATTGACAAATCAATTTACTGGCATTCTTCTTCCTTGTATTGCTGGTATCAGAGCTGTGCACCACTGCCAACTTCTATCAGTGTCATTAATAGTAATACCTGGAAACACAATTCTTATCAGCTTGCCACATATATATATATATATATATATATATATATATATATATATTCCAGTACAAAATTCTTCATGAGAAAAATTACCGGCTTGGATTTTCAAAAAATGCCCAGGTAATGTGTAAAGTTAATCATCTGCCCACCCAAATATTTCACCACCATCCAATTGAGCTTGTTTGTTCTTTTAATTATTATTTATTTTGAAGTACTACAGCATCAAACATTTGTCATACCACAGTCAATTGCATTGGCTGGAGGAGGTGAAAATGATTATTAGCTGTGAAGAGGGGAAAATAATTGAAAAGCTTTCTTGTGGCTTGCAAATGCCTTCCAAATATTCATTAAACATTTAAGCGACTAAATTTGCAGAATATGTTCCTGACATTGGCACTGGTTGTGCAGTTTTCTCTCATCAGATGGAGGTACTGTGTGTTATGTGGAGTGCATTCATGCATAAACAATATCATTTTCATAAATTAAAACCTCCCCTGCAGAAGGAACATCTGTGCCTGCCTTTGAATAAAAGATGGTGGCATCTGAGTTGCCCCTTGACTGACTGGAAGAATCCTTCTATTTGGAATGGAAGCACTTAAGCAAAAGGAACAAAACACGGAGCAGATTTCTCTCTCTCTCTTTTTTAGACCTTGTGACACCACTTTTCCACCTTCAGAACTAACTCTCCAGAACAAGTGAACAACTCTTTATACAGGTATATGCTGCAATTTAAAAAAATAAAATACTGGAAGCCAATCATCTTGCAACTGTCTTGGTCTAACTGACTGGCATTTATGTTGGGATTTTTTTGTAATTTAAACATAAGGGTCATGTTTGCCTACAGTAGTCAAATCTCACTCATTTGATTTGGAATAATTTTCATGGTGCTTTTTTGTGATGGTACTCACCAACACAGACTACCACCACCTCTTCTTTGCTGCGCTTTTGGCTGACATGCACAGCACTTTTATCAAGATACAATACCGTCACCTCATTTTTTACCAGAAAAACCCTCTAAACCCCACAGAATTTTCATACAATCATGATGAAGTCCCAAAGCTCTTATATACAATGCTCGCAACTACTTTCTTCTTGTTGGCCTTATTAGATCACTTATTGTTCAGCCTGTGTGCAAGAACCCTGAAAGATAAGAAAAATGAAAATGTAAAACCACATGTATCACTCTTAAAAAAACAAAATAACATAAATGGGCATAGTAAATGAGATCATGGCCTTGTCTCAAGAAGGAAAGCTATGCAGTAAACACAACTTAGTATGGGGAATATGGCAGCTGAATATTTAGAAGGTGGTGCCAAAACATTATTCTCCAGACACCTTGTTCTAATCCATCACTTCTCCATAAAGGATGCATGCCCTGCATCCTGGAATAAGCAAATTGCTTTCTTACCGCTTCAGAGCCAAGATGAGTCTCTGGCATGCAACAGCAGAGAAAACACTCCAAGCTCAGATGCTGTGAGAGGAACCATTAAGTTGCCATTCTAGGATTTTGCTCCATCAAAGAGAAGCCAGGTTGTCAAATACATGCTTGTGTGTGTCAATCAGTAGATTACCAGTAACCAATTATACTCAGGGTTTGTTTTCATTTTAAAAAGAAGAAACAAATTT